GTTTGGAGCATTTATGAAAAAAGATAATTAATTTGTTAAATGAAAAAAAAGAGAAGTAACGGCGGAAAAAATAAGACGAAATAAAGGCATGCAAGAAATTCGTCTATATGAAAAAAACCGGATGAATGTATTTTCGGATATCAGTGATCGATTCTACTTAATCATAACAATTCATCCATTTACATGCTTTCTTTATTGATGGATACAAATATTTATGACTTTCAAAACATCATATCCTATCCTTTTATTTATACGAATATATTTTGAGGTTCAATATCAGAAATCAATTTTAGTTAATGAAATTATTGCTAATTTTTGGAAACGAAAAAAAAAATTAAATCGAAGAATTAGAAAGACAAAAGGTTGGCTACTGTATTATCAAAAATAAGCAAAAGAAAAATATGTTAAATTAATAGGTGGAAATTTAACTTTTGTTTCTTTAATTACAAATACATTCATTGTGCAAACAAATAATTATTTTTGCTTTAATGTTATTATTGTATAATCAATTATAAATATATAATATATGGAAATAATAAAAACTTTTCTTCTCATTATAAACATTTTTCTAATAATTTGTAATTATCATCGCTGCTGTTTAAGAAATTTTAAATTCGATAAAAGCGAAAAAATCATTATTGAAAATCGTAGTACTTTTCTGAAATTGAATTAATATTATCGTAATTCGAATTAATATATTATAATTGTTATTTAAAATCGTAGTGCTTTTCTGAAATTGAATTAATATTATCGTAATTCGAATTAATATATTATAATTGTTATTTAAAATCGTAATACTTTTCTGAAATTGAATTAATATTATCGTAATTCGAATTAATATATTATAATTGTTATTTAAAATCGTAATACTTTTCTGAAATTGAATTAATATTATCGTAATTCAAATTATTTATACTATATTTAAAGAAATATTTACTGAAATATTTTTCAGTATAAAATATTTTTGGATATTTTAAAATGATACTTTATTCTTAGCATATTAACACATTTTGTAATCATTTTTATGCCATAACAGAATGTCAAAGTTGAATTTCTTATTAGAGAAGGTTATTAATTAAAATGCTAATAATTAATTAAAATATTGAAAATGTTGATTAGAGAAGAAGAATTAAAAAAAAGGAAATTTAAAAAATGATTCAAACATAAAAATGATACTTCATTCTTAGCATATTAACACATTATTGTTTTAGTACAAAATTGATTCGTTGAATTTATTGATTAATTAATTTAATTTAATTAAAATGACTGTTTTCTAAGAATTAACAAACAAATCATAGTTCTTTCGCAGATGTCATCAAACGAAATATTGAATATATTTGTCAAATTAGAAGAAAATTTAAATGATTATTTCTACACTTAATCATTTATGAATTTTGTTAAAATTTCATTTTAATTAATTTTTCAAATCGAATTACGGTAGGTTTTTATTAGGCAAAAAAATGGCTAGATTAAAAGAAGGAAATGAAGCAAACTTTTAAATTTTAAAAGAATAAAGAGTTATCGGTTTTTTTTTAAACCGTACTGTTTTCGATTTGATGAGTTGTTGATTATTACTGTGTTGATATGAAAGTATCAGTTATCAGTAGTTGAACGAAGTGATTTTGAAATGTTGCCAAATGTTTCTTTTATTCAAATAAATAAAGGCATTTCAACAAATTTTCATCGGTGAAAAAAACCATAGCAATTCAGATTTATCTATCAGGTAATCCTTATCAACGGAACATTGTTCGATAGTTTCAGTAGATAGGATAAGTTATAAGGAATGAATATGAATGAAATGGTTCCAATAATCATAATGTAAGAACTATTGCTATTTTTTCCAAATTAATAATCGACTATCGTGAATTAGAATAATTAACACTTCTGATTAAATGTTTATTTTAATCACCTAACCATATATTTTTATCAATATCAATTAATACCTTTTTCACCTACATAATTTCAATGATAAGATAGCTTCCTTGCTTGTATCCGGCTTGTTTACTTATCAGTTGTTATTTAATTAGTCGATAAATTTCTTTTACTGAACTGATTCAAATTTTACTCCATTTTATTTTCCATTTCTATCTTTCCATAAAAATAAACATTGTTTCATCTCTTTAATTCTTCTTTAATATATGCTTCCATATTCTAAGAATTTTAATCCATTAAATTTGAATTTTAGATTTAATTAGAAATTTCAATTAATCGATCTTCTTCCTTCATTTATTATTTCTTTATTTGCATACCACACTGCTAACATATATTTCTGAATTATTCGTTCCAGCACTTTCATTCATTAGTTATTTTGAAATGAGATTTTCATATTTCTAAGAAATAATTTAAAAAAAATATGACTGATCAGAAAATGATGATTGAGAAGAATTAATTTTATTCTATCGTTTCCAAAAACCAAAAAATATTTATGAAATAATTAAATAATTAGCTCATTGATGCTTAACACATAGCAATTCTAAAATTCATTTTTTAATATTAGATTTCCAATTAAATATTATTATTGTACTATTTAAGCGTAAACAACAGCTAATTGAAAAAAAATTTAAAATAGAAATTTTAAATTAAAAATTAAAAATATCAAAAATTATTATATGAATTATTTAAGCGCCATTTTTTCGAAAATTAATATAAACAATTAAGCGATGATGAATTTAGGAGATATTTCAAAAGAGAAAATATTTTTAATTATTACAACTGATATATTTAATTGTTATTTATGATCGGATAGTTAAAAAAAAAAATGCACTGATAAAATAAGTGATTGATTCAATGATGAGAACTATTGAACAGCTGTTAGAGAAAATAAATTTTAGTAATGATTATGCTTTACCCTCTTAAACCTCTTTACCCTCTTTACCGCTTTACCCTCTGCACATTTCAATTAGCTAACATATTAGCTTTAAAATAAGCTTTTTTCAAATAATTTTAATAAGCATTTGCATGAATGAAATTTTTGAAATTCTTCTTCGTACTTTTATTTTAATTACTTTACAACTGATTGGACAAGTTCTTAATTATATATATATATATATATATGAGTGATTTTAATACTTCATTTGAAATATCTTATAATAAAGTAAGAAGTTATTTACTTCCTTATCATATCTTATCTTTCATATCTTGTTTCAGATCATTTTCATAGGTTTTTTTTAAAATAATTTTCTATGTTTTCAGAATTCTTAAAGGTAAAATTTAATAAACCTTAATTAATTTATGCTTCATTTTTCAGATCAAACGGATTTGTTTCAAAATTTGCTTATCAATTTGATATGATATTGGTTAGAAAATTTACTTATTGATTTGATATGATACTTTCAACGTTATCTTTACCTATTTTATCCATATTATTTGCACCGAACAATGTATCGAATTTCTTTTGGTTAATTATTTTTTTTCTTGGTAAGACCTTTTTTACACTTTTAGAAATTAGCTAATTCACGTGAAACAGTTCACTTTGAGTGAACTTTTATACACCACTTCACAATTTGATCTAAAATTTTATACGTCATTTCACAATTTGATCTAAAATGTTATACGTCATTCGACAATTTGATCTAAAATTTTATATGTCATTTCACAATTTGATCTAAAATTTTATACGGCATTTCACAATTTGATCTAAAATTTTACACGGCATTTCACAATTTGATCTAAAATTTTATACGCCATTCGATCTATTTGTAATATTACAGCAATAATTAAATATGTAATAAAAAAGAAATGAAATACTAATCGTAAAATGCTTCATAAATTGTGACACTTTGTTGAAACAAAACATTAATCAAATGATTCAAATAACCAATGATCTAATTAAAAATCATTTCTTTAATTCATTTAAGTCACCTTTTTCATTCATTTTAATTTCTATATAATGTATATTATTAAACAATAAAAATATGGAAGGATAATATATATATATATATATTATTATATAATAAAAATATATTTTGTAGCAAACAATTAAAAAAAAACTTTTTTCAAATATTGCTAAAATTAACAAAAAACTTTTAATTTTTTAAAATGAATTCCATTAAAGTATAGCTAAAAATTATTGCAAAAAAGGTTTTTCTAAAACAATTAAATTATAAATTTTCTCACGCGTCTAATTAATAAAGTTCATTTAATTATTCTCATTGTCTCTCTCCAATGATATGAAACATAATGAATAAATTTCAATTAAAAAAAAAATGTTAATATATGATAACATAATATACCTGACAGATTGATAAATTATAATCTATCTGTTATGACTGTTTCTTTTTCAAGTACATAGAAAGCAGTTGTTAATCATTTTTCTATTTTATTATTTCTTCTTGCAAAAACTTTCGAATAGTATCAATACGAGGGAGCATTGAATGGCTTCATCGTAATTAATGAAATAATTAAATTAAAATTTAATGAAATGTGGAATTTTATTTAAGGATTAATTGGAATAATTTTATTGTATACAAAATGGATAACAGGATATTATTATTTGTTGATACTTGGAAAGAATTTGGAACCATTTACGTTGAGTAATCAAAACAAATCTTATCCACCAAAACTAATTAAATTTGGCCTCACAGATATACCACATTATCGTAAGTTTAGATTTTACTTAACTTAATTTTTAACTTAACTTAACTTAATTGAAATCTAACTTAACTTAATTTTGCATACAAAATTAAACCGTACAAAATTATAATATAAATTTCTTCGTAAATTAATAGGATTTGCTTTGATATTAACACTGAATTATATAATTCTTTAACAATAAATCAGATTTAATTATTATATTTAATTATTCATATTAAGTAATTAATTTCGAAAATGATAAGCAAATGAGATGATATTGTAATACTTTGGTATATATCATATTATAGTTTAGCAAAAAAATATTCAAAAAAACAAAATCAAAAATAAAGTAAAATTTAGCTGGCGGAAATTGGCGTTGGAAACATAAGAAGTGGACATTTTATGCAAGCCGTGGTAATCGTCCATACATGGAAGATCGCATGCATTATCTAAATGATCCATATCATAATATTACAATGTTCAGTATTTTTGATGGACATGGTGGTCCGGTAATTTCCATTTTAATTATATTAATATACAAGTAAAATTTTATATTAAGTTAATTTTCTTTTTTTATTTTACTGGAATTAATTATTGTATGGAAATTTTAGTTCGTATCACAGTATCTGGAAGAACATTTCTCGGGAGCAATACATCAACGACTTTTACGTGGTGACTTTGATCATTATTCAAGTCTGACAGGACATTCTAATGATCATATCATTGAAGTATGTTTCATTTGAATTCATTTTTTTTTGAAGCATAAAATTAATTAATTTCTTAACATTTAACCTTGTTGATGGTCGATACTCGAATAACAACATATCTCCTGTTTTAAATTTTTGAAGTGAAATTTTTTTTCCTAAAATTTTTGATTAATTTTTTAAAGCATTTTTAACAAGCAAATAGCTTTCCTAAAATAATGATAATTACATTAATTGATGTATTCACATATTGTAAGATATGATATAATTTGATAAATGATTAGATGAATGAATAAAAGCTATTTGTTTTAAATCGTTTTTTATTTTTTAGAACCTTTTGTTTTATTTTTTAAATTGTGAAATTTAAAGGCTACTAATTTTAAAGTTATTAGCCAACAAAAAATATTCAAACAATTTGGAAAGTTCCTTTTCTTTTTCATTATTTTAACCAAATTTCTTTCGTTGGATGAAATCCTAAAAACATTCGAAATAAGTTTTACTAAAAATATGTTTTACAATATGAAAGCGAAAAACAAAAGAATTTTCAAATGATATGCGCCGTCGAGAAAAATGCTAAAAAATTTTAAATCTAATTAAAATATCTTTTTAAATCTAATTAAAGAAAATTTTAAATCTAATTAATGATTTGAAATTAAAAAGTTTTCAAAGAATTCTTCAATTACAAATTTTCAATAATTTTTCAGTTAAAATTTTTCTTTCAAATTAAATTGTTCAAATAAAAAAGCGGAAAGATAAAGAGATTATAATACTTTACAAAAGTATACAAAACTACCTTCTAACGTTTTATTTTTAAATTTACAAAGTAAAATTGGAATTGTTTAGGCAATAATTACGGAAGTGTATAATATCGACGATGAAATTTTGAGGTTACATCCATCGTCAAGCCCACTGACAGGTGTAATTATTACCATTATTATTACTCTTGATTACCTTAATTAAATATTTTGAAAATATAACTTGCTTTTAAATTTTTTGAAAATTAATTTCTATCTTAGAATTTATGATGCAATAACATTTAAGCATACCATTTCTTCACGAGTAAATATCAATAATGAATTTTATGATTCTAATTTTACTTAATCATTTTACATTACAACCATTCCTGAAATAAATCTTAGAAAAAGAGTTTTTGGAAATCTTTTCCACATATTTTCAACAAATTCTACGCTAATAATTCTCTTGCTTTACAGGAAAAAATTAACCTAATTTATTAAATTATAATAAATTAATTTTTCATTGAAAAATAGTACATTTTCAAATTACAATTTTAATTTCATATTTTGGCAAAATTTTGTTAGATATTATTATATGATATGAATTATAATATTGAATTATTTCGTTGCATTGCAAAATTGAAATGGATTAAATTAGTTGCAGGTTCTACGCTAATTTCAGTAATACTGGAACGTAATCGTTTTTTAACCATTATAAATATTGGTGATTCTCGTGCGGTTGCATGTGATATTACAGGACATACCATACCACTTTCAACTGATCATAAACCATCTGATGTTCGTTTCTTCCATTAGTTACACCTTTTATTACCATATAACACCACAAAACAATTTCATTTACTTTTTATTATTTCTTTCCAAAATAGATAATATTCAGTTACTATCGATAATAATAACTTTCATTATGCATTAACTAATTTTTACAACATTTATTTTGGATGATAAGACGTAAAAAATATGACGTGATTGACGTAGCCACGTCAAATAAGTGTACAAATGTTGGAATAAGAATATTTTAAAAATATCCTTACTTGCAATTTTTCTCCTTCTTCATTTTCACCAAATTTTACTTATTTCTCAAGTGGTATCATTTTGTATATAATAAATCGTTTTATTTGAAAAATAGTTTTGCCTTCAAATTCAATGAAATTTTTCTAACTTTAATTAAACTTTCTAATTTTAGTTTTCTAACTTTAATTTCTTTCTAAAAATATTCTAAAGAAATTTGCTTAAGCTAAGGAATTATTTATTGCATAAAAAATTTAATTAATTAATATCTCGTAAAAAAAGAAGTATATAAGGAACTTTTGTTTCGAAAAAGATCACAAAATTTTATTTATCTAAAAGTTTAAAGTTTACTGATAAGTAAGATAGCAACACTTTTTATTTATCTGAAAGTTTAAAGTTTACTGATAAGTAAGATAGCAATACTTTTTATTAATCTAAAAGTTTAAAGTGTACTGATAAGTAAGATAACAATAAGTACTTTACTGATAAGTAATTTTTTGTTATAAATAATTATTGTATCATTTTGCTAATTTCATCAAATTATATTTTTAGCAATTTTTTTACACAATAAATAACCAATGATTAATTGATAATTAAACAATTAATCATTTATTTAATTGCAATCATCGTTCAATGAATATTTCTTAGATCGATGCTATAAATAAATAATCAATCATCCAAATATAAAATCATAACTAAAATATTGTTGACATTTTTCATATTCTTCGTAGGATGACAACAACTTTTAATGATATGCAATAAATGTTATCGATAAATGAATTGGAAAAATTTTTAAATGATCTAACAATTAATCTTCCTACCTTCCGATCAACATTTTAACAAATGCTTTAAAAAGAGCTATAAAAATTTTGCAGTTATATTTTATCAGATTTTATCATATTTTATAGATTTTATCATATTCTTTAGATTTTATCAGATTTTATCATATTTTTTAGATTTTATCAGATTTTATCACATTTCTTAGATTTTCATATTTTTAGTAAAAGCATATCATATCAATTTTGCTATTTAAATGATTAAAATTATCAATATCAAATAATTAATCAATTTCATATTATTATAATAAAAAATATATGATATTAAATCATTTCATATAATTATGTCTTAATCCTTTTCTCAACATTTTTTTGAAGTATATCTATGATTATAAGCGAATTAAAAAAGCATGCAGTAAATATTGGTAAAAATTGTTGAAAATAAATCTTTCAGGAAGATGAACGGAAACGTATCGAAAGTGCGGGTGGTTTCATCGAATTTCGCGGTGTAGACCGAGTACAGGGAATTCTTTCGGTTTCAAGGTTTCTCCACTTTATTCTATTCCAAAATTTACGATTGTTTAATAGGGCAACTTAACCAATAAATATAAATAAGAATATATATAGTTTTTAATAATAAATAAGAATATATATAGTTTTTCTCTCTTTACCTCATTAGGACAATTCATTGTAGTTTTCAGTAATTAGGATTCAAAAGATAGAATTTAGTATCGGATTCATCGGATTCAGCGTGATAGGATTCAGATAATTTTAATATTAGATACAAAAATTATTTTTCAATTATAGATTATTTAAAAGAGCTTGAAAATAATTGTACATTATAAGAGAAGTGAAAGTTAAGTATATTGAAATATATTTTTGACATTTTGATTCATCCACATTAATAGCAATTCTAATGATCATATTAGTTTGTATTAATTATTCCAATTAATCAATACATAGCAAAACTTCCATAGGTTGTTTATATTTGTTTACAATATGCATATGGTGGAAATAATATAAATGTAAATTACAAATTATAATCTTGCTAATGGTTGAAAATTTAACAATAAATTTGCAAATTACTCTAGAATAAATATATGATTAATTAATCAAACAAACAAATCAAAATATCACTTCTAATTCATAGGTAATTTATTAATGAAATTAATAAATTGATGATAATCAGTCAAAAATGAATTGTTAAATTGAACTATAATGTTTCAAATATATCATTAGCTTAATTAAAATTAAAATTAAAATTTTAATAATAGAAACTAAAGAATTATCATAATATTAAAAAATTAAATTGTTCGAGAAATCACAATTTTTGTAATTAAAAAACATAAGTACAAAAAAATGAGTTATTGATTGATATGATAGACAATCGAATAATTTAATTCAATTTTATGATAATCTAATAGTATGATCAATTGTTTTCTAACCTAATACTTTTTTTTCTAAAAAAAAAATATTAACATACGATACTAATTAAGTTAATTATATAGAATTCATGAAATAATTGAATAGGTTTATTTATTGAATAATTGAATAAGTTTATTTATAGTTTATTTATTTTTTCTATTTTCGAGCATTTGGTGATACGGCATTAAAGCAACTTTCCGTATTGACAGCAGAACCGGATATTGTCCAACTTGACCAAAATGAAATTAGTTTACAATTTATTATTGTTGCATCGGATGGTTTTTGGGATGTGCTAACAAATGAACAAGCGATACACTTCGCACGATCATTTTTACGTGTATCATCAAATCAGTGGCATAAGTTTATTTTACTTTCTTTCTTCCGGTTTTTTACTGATAAAAAAGAGAGGTATAAAAAAGGAGAGAGAGGGAGAGGGAGAGAGGAAAGAAAGAAGAGAGAAAGTGAGATAATTCGATCTATATCTTATAATATAACTCTATTTTAGATAGTTTAAGATTGCATGAAGAAAATTTAGCTAAAAATAATAAGTTCAATAAATTTTAAAAAAAAAGTTGAACGAAAACTATTTCGATTATTTCATTAGAAATAATCTTAAGAAATAAAAAGATACAAATAGAATATTTTATTCTAAAAATGAAAACTGATTATGAATAGATCTTTAAATAATTATCGGCCACTCTTGAAGATATGTAATATTTGCAGAGTTGCGGAATATTTGGTACGAAAAGCATTGAAACTTGGTTCCGACGATAACATTTCTTTGTTATTTATTCGATTATTTTAATTATTATTCCATCAATATTGCATATTATTCCATTTAATTAAATTTGTTTATCTGATAACCTACTACTAGTATCATTACTATGCAAACATTCTGAATTGATTATGACTATTTTCCGAAATAATTCATTTCTGTTAAATGTTGAAATGATTCAGTATCAGTGAAAAATGGAGAGTATGGAAATGACGATTTCATGATATTATTTGCTACGTTATGTCCAGATTTTTTCAATGTGTTACAATTTCTGTCCTTAATTTTTTCAAGAGAAAATAGACTACTGCCAATTAATTTAAATTAGTTATGAGTTAATTTCTTTACGCAAAAATATGATCGATAAGATCGACCTCTATGATTGATAAGCAAGATGTTAGCAGAAATTTCTGATAGCATAATTATTTGTGATAAAAAAAATTAACGGTTGCATTTCCATAGTTCATTCCACATTACATATCCTGTTAACATATCATAATACAAGCTTCTTTAAATTTTATCAACCATAATATTGTATGAACACTTATGTAATGGATATTTACAGAATTAATGGTTAGTAAGGTGCGATGGAAATTGTAGAAAATAAGTAATAAACACGTATAACAAATATAATGTAATAGACCGTAACCAAATTGGTAGTAAGAAAATTGTAAGCAGTGCTAATTCAATCAAATGCTAGATAGTAGCATGCCAGAATTTAGAAATATTATCCATGACAAAATGATAGATAGTACTAAAAAAATATTACCCACGCACGACTTCATTTTGTCATAGGTAATATTTTTTGGCTTCTTGCATGGTAGTGCCACATAATAAATAAATTTAAGCGGAAATTTTAAAACGATTTTCATTTAAATAATTTCTTTTCATTGCAATGAAATAATCAATGAGGATCATTCAATTTTTCCATTTTAATGGAGTCCGATCGGTAACACTCGTTTTGGATGTGTTCGCTTCTTGCAATATTTTGCTAAAATGTTTTTTGACACTGCGCAACGATCGTGAAACATACTGAAAAATAGTTCATTTTATCGGTTTACTATTAAAAAAAAATTCGTTTGCAATAACAACTCAGTCCATGATTTTAATATGAACTTTTTAATCAAAGCTCTTTGTAACAGTGCATGCAACTGAGTGAATCTATAAATTCTATGGAGCGTTTACAAACAATAACAATTTGAAGATTTTAATATAAAAACCTTTTTGCCGATTTACCTAATTAAATTATATGAATTTTATGCAACTATCTAAAAATCTATCAACCTTAGTTTTCGATAAGTTGCTTGGTGATACTAAGCTAGATGTATCACCGCCACCTTTATGTAAGTATGGCGTAAAATTTCTGGAATTTTTGAGTTCATCTTCGAGCCGTTCAGATGGGAAACGTTTCGCAGCATAAGTCAATTCCGTAGCGTAAGTTGAACGCATGTGAGGCGGCAATGTTTTATTGCGTCTGTTCAATTCACTCAAGCGTTCACTATCCACGGAAGTGTTAAATTCCTCTTGTCTTAAACAGTAAGCATTTCTTTACAAGCATTTTATTTTTGTAGAAATCCAAGCAAAAACCTCATTAAATATAAAAGATAGAAAACCCCTTAGTATTAAAATTAAAGCGATATGAAAAAAAAAATGTCCTAAAAAGTGTGATTAAATGTAATAAAAATTACTCATCAGCTGTAATCAGTCTACCACATTGCGGTTCCACCTTTAGCATATATGGATCGCCAACCACGGATGATGACGACAACAAATCATTCTCATCTTCAACTTCCGGGAGTGGATGAAATTCATGAGGCAACGCACCAGATGACACGTCTGCAGTGATTTTTGAAATACAAGCCAATAATTTTGAATAGTTTTTTAATTCTTCCACTGACAAATTTGTAGTTTGATAAGCCATCTGCACTATACATCCATCAATTTATCTAGCATACTTCAGTGCACAAATATGTGAAATTATGTTCATCATTTTTTTATGAAATAAGAGATAAAACGTCAAAGTAAGCACTACCTACTGCTTCCGAAAAGTGACAGTTTATTTTGGCCATTTCCTCGGCTGGTTTACTATCCAGAGTGCTATTGCTAATTGAGAAATGTTGGGAAATTGTTGAGTGTCTTTCCTCGGCAGAAGCAAGGCGTTGCTCAAGAGTAAGGTATGCAGCTGAAAGTACCGGATACCCTCAGAAAGAAAACCGGTCATATTAAAAAATTTTTTTCGAAAACTTCACACATTCACAGTTTCTTAGGATGACGGTCACTACAAACTCAGTGACATCAAAGTACTTCAAAACATGTACCAGACATGCTGCATTTATTAGCGATGGATAAATGGTATGAAACAACAACTGCTTAGCCACTAATAAACTGAACATGATCCTGACGATTAGCTTTCAAATTTGAGAATCTTCAGAAAAAAACTTTCGAAATGTTAAAAAACATACCCTCCCGCCGTCTTATTTCTTCCTGCAAATGGATATTGAGTTCAACGCTGCTATTCAACTGATTCCATGCTTCCAAGAGCATCCGTTGTTTTTCATTTAAAGTTTCTTGCTTTGCCATCATAGCCACTACATGCTAAAAAAGGAATTCCGGCAAAAAAGTTTCTTGCTTCACCATCAAAGCCACTACATGCTAAAAAAGGAATTCCGGGGACATTCCGAACGAAAATGGTTCTATTTTACACATACCTTCTTCCGTTGATCCTCCAATGATGCAGCTAACGCCTTCGACTGATATTCGCTTATCGCTACCTATGAAACAATAATACATTTTTGTTGGCCATGGGATGCAAACAAAAAACAAGACTGGCCAAGATAGAATTTTCATTTTGTTCACATTTGCTTAACGATGAACTTGCACATGTAGTCTTTATCACTGAAACTAAAAACTTTTGTTCGTTCAAGAAAGAAATTCATCAGCGCAATTACTCAGTAAAACAAAAACTAATATTAATTAATTAGAAAAAATAAACACACAAATACATTGTTTCGTAGGCTTTCAATCATAGCTTTATTTTGTCCATTCTCTTCCTGCAAAGCCTGATATTCATTCTGGATACCTGTGAACAGGAATCGTAGACCTTGAATTTCGGTCCTCCTATTTTCCAGCTCTCTACAAAGATTTCGTATCTGCAAATAACTTATGCTGTATTTTTATTTAAAACCACCAACAACCAAATCAGTATTTTGGCGTGGGTGGTCTTTTTTACAAACTGATGAGTTCAACATCTCTTAAAAGCATTGCAGTAAATCACTAAATTATTTAATCTTTAAAAATTAAAATAAAATCCAGTTTCACAGAAAGAGAAGCTAATACCTGCACAGCTATGTTGCGAATGTTTTGGACAGAAAGTTGAGCAACACTTAATTGCTTCTTCATTTCTGTAATCATACCGGCAGACCTTGCAATCTCTAATTCCTTGATCCTCACTTTTTCGTCCTGACTAATCAGTGCTTCATCCCTTTCTCGTCGCTATAACATTGAAACTTCCTTAAGTAATAAAGTTAACAGTTATTATAACTTAGATGAATTTAGAATTTAACACACCGCTTCCTTTACGTCCGATCGTAATCCATCGATGATGTTCCGCAATTCTGCGATTTCGGCTTCATCGTTAGTTGTAAGCCGTATCAATCGCTCCTCGGCAGTCGTATTCGAGATCCGTGTCACTTCAAGTTCCTTAAATGAAACTACACATTTAAAAGATTTCATGTAAATCTTCGACAAGAGTGCGCATAATCTATTATTATGTTTTACGCACCTGCAAAAGCTCTTCTCGTTCTCTTTTCATTTTTAATCGCCATTCTTCCTCCAATGCAGCTTTTTTTTCCCAGCTCTCAACCGTCCTTTGTTTCGATGAAATGTCAAATTCGGCTTCACGCAATTGCCTCTATAATAATTTGCATTGAAATCACAAGAATAAAATTAAAAAAAAACTTGTTTTGCGGTAATTAAATAGCAACTACGGCAGCAATGAAAATAAAACATTTTGTTGGTGATAATTTGTACATTCAATAATCAAATTTTAATAATTTCACTTGTGTAGTGTGCAGTTCTTGCTTTGCAGTCTTTAATTGCTGCTTTAGTTGAATGCTTTCTTCCTCAGCTGCAGCCGCTTTAGTTCGCCAGTCATCCAGTTCTGTACCAAGCGTACGGCACCGTGCATCTTTCTCACTAACAGCGCTGGTTACTTCGCTGAGACTGTAATTTACTAACAATAATATTAAGATATTGTGTGAGATAAAGATAAAGTAACTGAAAATCAGTAAAAGGAAATAAAAGATAGATAAGATCGACTGAATGAAATGACTAACAATGTACTAGCTTAGGAAGTAAGCAGGAATAGAAATGACAATATAACAAGGAATGATGGAACAAAGGGCAAAAGAAATCGAAAATTTGTATGAAAACCTCTTTGTAAGTCTTTTGATTTCCTGGTTAGCGGTTCTTAGTGCGCTGTCCAGATCATCTTTTTCGTATTCTAGTAGTTTACATCGTTCATTCAGAGTCTAAATAGTTATGATTAGGATCGAGAAGTATATATAACTTTTTTTCATGAGTATTTTGCCGAAAATTAGGCAAAGTTCAAGAAAATAGATGAAAACCTTTATCTTTCTATCTTTTTCACGCATTATTCGCAATTCACGTGAACGAGGAGAGGAAACGACTTCAGAAAGTGGACTACGCCTTATATCTATTTTTTCACTCAATACGAATCCACAATGATTTGATCGACGAATCTGGAAGATTTCATTTCTCAAGAAAAAAGTAAGATTATACATACTATGTTTAATCAATTCAATTGCATTAATGCAGATTGAAACTTCACATTCCTAGTGTTCTTAGAAATTTGAAGGAATTCGATAAACTAGTGAAGCACAGACAAAAGGAACCTTGGGAGTAGTAAAATTTTCCACATTTACAGATTCGTCACTGCTTTGAAACAGCACTGCAGGCCAAGAATCATAGGGATCCCAATTTTGATGATCCTCCAAATAATGCAGTACCGCTCCAATATGCTTATTTTCATCCTCAGCTAGTCCGTAATCTTCATCGAAAACCACTTCCAGACTTATCCGTAACTCATTCAAGAAGACGATCAAAAATTTAGCCACCTCAAAATTATCACCCGTTGCAGCCAAATCTGGCTTCAAATGGTCTAGAAACGAAACATCGGTCATTTGATCCACTAAAGCCTGATATGCTTTCGTGTATACTTCTTGGCTTGACTTTTCCTCGCATATTTTGAACTTACCAGTAGTGCTGAAATTTTATATCGAATGTATTATTTCAAAATTTAATCCAACAAAAGAAATTGTTATTCGGAAAAAAACGGGTAATTGCCAGCAACTTTCATTTTTGCTCTAACTCTTCGATTATATTAAAAACGGTTCTTGCGATATGAAGAAACTCACATGAAATGAGTTATAGTAGGTATGTGTCGTTTATACAGTAGAGCCCAGCCATCCACTGGATCAATACCTAACTTGGCCTTTAACAATTGTTCGAACTGCAATAAAATTAATGAACACTATCATTTCAATTTCTACCTTATTAGTTGCATATCCCTATTGGACTCAACAGTGATAACAGCAGACTAACTTAGAGTTGAGAAACTTTAGAATTATGCAGTTAAGCAGGAAAGAAATACGATATATGGCTAAAAAAGTATAGGATGAAGTGATTTGGAGTGGTATCACGATAAAATAATTTAATCGCAGAAAAATTCTTCCAAACACTAAATATATTTAAAGGCAAAAAATCGGCTAACTACAAGATTCTGAATCTATAGTGTAAAATATTTGACGTGTGACTATTGATGCAGATAATGCATGACAGTAATAATAAACTAACCCAACGTCTGATTGCGCCTGTCCGTTTTGAATCCATTTTGGAAACTGAAATGTTAACATATCTTAATTATGAACAATCTCGTCTATCTGTTTTTCTCTTTGCTCTCGTCTATTACCTCCACCCCGAAGTATTTACAATTCCTTGAAAAGCTGATAGAATGACTACTTTAAGGGTCGTAAATATCATTTGACATACTATCAGACGTCTCCAAGATTAAGACAAAGGCCGCTAGAAATTATAGCTCTATCATGATTTCTGAGGAGCGGAAAATATTACTAAAATTAAGTGGAAAAAAATTAATTTTATCAGATGATTTTCGGATGCTATAATGTCAGAGAACGACTCATAAGATGCGGTCTGGCAAAAAATAAAAAGATAAAGTCATAATCAAACTGGAATACTTTTATACTCAAATAAATTCCCGCTTTCATCCGACTCACACAAACACTGCTGTATCATATAGAGCAAGTTCACGAACGCATTATTAACCTCGATGTATATAAAAGGTCATAGTAAGATAATGTATGCATGCTGCACCCTTAGAAATTAATAGGAGCCAGCCAGTAGAGCATGAGTGGCATATTTCTCACGCTAAGACATTTCAAATTAATTTTTTCAAAATTCCCGCTTGGCTAGGTTGGAGGGCGAATAGCGAATCATTTCAAATGATAGCATAATTGACGAAAAGTTTCCAACCTTTGACGATCTTCGATTATTCATATCATTGTTTTGTTCATGCTATCCTTATCTTTACTTTCATTTTTGCCACCATTGCAATGCCTAAACATTTAATTTTATTACAAATTATTTCTTTGCATTTTTCAACCTTTCATAATTACCATTTCTTTTATAATTACGCTTCATTTCTAATTTATATCTTTTCAGGTATTAACAGTTATAATCACAAAATTGGATTATAAATGGACATGTATTTTCGTATTAATTATGGAATACCATGTAATTTTATAATTTTTTTATCCTAATTTCAGAATTATTTTGCTATTGTTTCAAATTATTCCATAAACTGTTCTTTTTCGATTCTCTGATGAATTTTGATGATAGCTGCTGTTTTCTGGAGAATAATTTTGATCAATTTTATTTGACGAATTTGCTTTCCCCAAACAATTCCAGGACCAATGTTAATAATATCACCGAACAAAGCAATGATCAGGTTTTTATCACTTATATGTTAGGATCAACTTTTAACTAGCTCATAAATATCTGTTGACATTCGCCATATTTTTTGAATTCTTTTCCAATGATGGATTACAGGAGGACGAGTCATTGGTATTGAAGGATTGGTAAGAATTTTTAAAGTAACAAATCAGCGCTTCGTCTTTTTTTCAATTTGAAGCAAAATTTGCTGTAAATATTATTGATTTGATAATAATTATTTTCAGCTTTCGGAAGCCATTGGGGGTTTGGAATTTGATTTGAATTCACAGAGTAACGATGGAGTACTTGCAACAGATGATTCGTCGATATTTGATACTGTTACGCTTGATGATGATTTTATCAGTCAAATGTTCTATTGTAATGCTTCGCCATCCACTAGTGATTCCGGAAATTATTCGCCAACATGCTCTACTTCAGATGTATGCATTTGCCTAAGTAATTGGATACCTACTAAACTGACGATGACTTCCCGGCAAAAATCTATTACACATAATAATTTAAGGACCATAGTTCTTTTTCTCAGAAATTTACGAAGAACTGATAATAATGTTAGATTATAATCGAATGGTTTAGTGAATCTTATTAGCTTCAGCTAGACTTTTGAAAATATTAGTGAGCGTTTATTTACCAGTGAGTATTTATTCAAGATTTTACAGGACTTAAAAAAAGTTTTTGAAGGATCAGAGTGCTCCTGACAATGATCGAATTACAAATGTATCTCAGGCTACACAAATACATCAATTGGAAACGAAATTTACTGCAATGCCTAATCCAAGACGACTTATTCCCGTTCAGATCCCTGTTCAGCAGGTTTTATAATTTGGATTTCCTGAAAAATAATGACTTTTTTTATAGTTTGTTAAAACTCTTTTAGCAGCGGACGATTTATTACATAAAAATTTTTAAGGAACTATCAAATATTCAGCTTTTCTTTCCAAATTCATAGCTTGCACTTACTTCTTCTAGTGATACTTTTTTTGCTCAATACTATATTTTTTATTTTTTGTGGAAATAGGAAAAAATTTCCTGAATGTAGTTTATCAAATATGGATTTTAATTAAACATGTGGCGAAATGAATTTGAAAAATGAGCTTGAACATTAGTAGCGGTTTTTCAGATTGTAACGAATGGTAAAAGCACATCAAGTCACCCAACGATTTTCATTACGCCATTCCACTCCAGCTCTCTTAACGTGAGTTTCAAGCTCCTATGCGATTTGAGTGATTTCCATCTCCGTTTCTTAATACAGTTTCATTTTTTTTTTGAAAAACATAGATAAACATTAATTCGAATTATTCATTTTAGTCGCAATCATCTGTCAATCAAGATAAGCAACGGATACTGTCACCAAAACATGACGGACCATCATCAGCACCGACACTTGCGAGCTCTATTGTTAAGGTAACTTCAGAAATGTTAACCATTATGTCACTGTATCATTCACATTCCTTCACTATTTCTTTCGTTTCATTTTTTTTCATAATCTTGTTTTCTTCAGTGTCCAATTTACTTTGTTTTGCATTTTTTTCTCATATTAATGCATTTTTCCATTTTTGAAATAGACTAGATAACCTATTAGAATGTTCTTACTTTCTTAGAATGTTAGGGCAACTATGTTAAGGTTTACGCCTGTGAATAATCTTTTCAATAATCATCAAACGGTGTCGCACACTATTTCGGCCATAACGAAGTACCAAAATGGATGTTCATTTTTTGGTAGACGTTGTGGTCCTAGATGTAAGTTAATATTTCATATCGATATAGAACTTTAATGTATCTTTCACACACGTCAACTCATTCATTTAATCTTTAAGCAGTTAATTGTGATATTGCAAAATATTTCTATCCAAGTTGTTCACAAGTAATTAGATGAAGTCGTTTCTTAAACCTTTCTAAAGATAGTATAAATTTCATCATTATTCTTTTTTTGTTTCTTTTCATCTTAATTCATTTGTCGTGTTCAGCACTGAATCACCAGAGAAATCTTATGTCCATTTCATTTCTTCGCATGATTTTATCGTTCATTCGTGAAGGATGTTTTTTGCATTGTAAAATTTTTAATCACACAAAATTTTCCTGACATTTTAAAAAATTTTTTAGGATTATGATCGTAAGAAGGAAGACAGGAAAATACGGAATCGATATTCGGCTCAACTTTCACGGATCCGGAAAAAAAATGTTAGTTTGGAAATGTTAAAATGCATAAATCTTTCTCCTTATTCTTCAATTTTTATTCTTCCCCATTTCACTGAATACTGCAGGAAGTCGATGAAATGAAGCGAAATTTGGCTAACAAAGATGTCATTATTGAGAAATTAAAGAATGAAATCGAAAATTTAAAAGGAACTATTGAAACTTTGCGAAGAGAGGTACACATTGTCTTAAATTGCATCTCACAAAGGAATCCAAAAACTGGAAACGGAAAACATAAGTTTAACTTGTTTTAAATGTATCTCGTATTACGGTTCTATAAGTGCTAATTTGGCATAGTTTTTATCTTAAAAAGCATATCAAACAAACTCGGTAAATTAGCAAACGTCTGAGAATTTTAATAATTTCCTGAAAAGCACATTATTTACCAAGAAATCTAATAAATTTGTTTATGTGAGATACAGTATGATCGATTAGGGCGAATAGCAATTTATCAGGAATCGATTTGTACGAATCACTGCTTAATTAAATTTAGCTTTGAAATAATGCGCGTTGATAACCTGCAGAAATACTTGCAACTTTTTAACTTGGACAAGTTCTTGTAACACTCGTGACAACTGAATTAATTTGTGTTACCTGGAGCTGATTTATATTATTTAAGAACAGAGAAATTTTTCTTTTTTCGCCATTAGGGCGATAAACAGAGAAACAAGCATCGAAAATTAATAGTAATTCAGTGTATTCTGACTGACTAATTTATGTTTTTCATTTTTGTTCTCTATTCAAACTCTTTCCAGCAATGAAGTTTTAACTTTAGAATGAAATGTTGAAGTCAAGTACTGGTAATCGAAACAGCGGTGGTCGTTTAGGTATGCTAGCTGGCGCTGTTTGTCTTTTTGGATTTGTTTCGTTATTGTCTTTTAGCAACACCCATACCAGTTAAGTTACCTTCTTTTTTGTTTTCTGATTAATGTTTGTCTGCAAATATTAAATCTGTACCAAATATTAAATATTAAATCTAAGAGCATAATTCTTCTAAGCCTTTTTACCCAAATGAATTTAAATTATTTTAGGAATCTGGATCCAGTCCATAATGCAACAAGTCTTGTTGCATTGAATCTTGCTAAATCAAATGTATATTCCGTGCGAAATAAAGTAAATACTGGCCGAGCTCTTCTTTCCTTGGATTATTATGGAGGCATAGTGGGTTACCTGTTTATTATTATTTAATTTCATTTCATCTTAAAACATTTTATCATTTTTTAATGTTTTTGTGTGTAGTAATTTAATTTTTCTCTGGAAATTTTTAATCTTCATCACTTTCAATAGAATCTTATTTTATAGGCGTATTTGTATGTTTAGTGCTAAATATACTTTAGGAATCGAGAAAAAATGCACAGTCAAGTAAGAAGTTCGATCCTTTATCGCATTCAGATCTGAACTATTCGGTGAATTGTAATAGCATACAGAAGAAATATTTAAATCAGACTGAAGCAATGAAGTTTGTTTTCATCTTCCTAAATTCATATCTTAATTGTAGAGTTGCAGACTTCCAAGAGCCTAAGTTGGCATATTGGAGCAGTTAACTTTTTTAACCTCCTGAAAGTACTCAAGCGCGTCATCATAAAGAAGCAGCATCGTTTTTGTTTTCTCGCCTAAAGCATTGAATCATTGAGAAATTAAAAAGGTTAATATAATGTTTTGCATGTGGCCTGCAAAACTTGGATTCTGTTTGTTATTTTCTCAGGTAATTTATTGAGAAATTATTGCCTAATTTATTGCCAGATGGTTTATAGGAGCTTGTCATTACAACTTCGGTCTTGGTAAATTTTTCTTTTTTTTGTTTTTTAGAATTTTAATTCTATTTTGATAGGATGTATGTTGCAGATTGAATAACGATGTCTTTGCTTGGATTAATCGGCATGAGTGTTTGCAGTTTATGCATATTCGACGTATATTTCGTGTACCAATATACAAAGGGTTGGCGACTCCTAACGTAACTATAAAATCTGAGCGAGATGCTAGACGCAGAAAGATGGGTGCAAAAAATCAACAACGGTTTATATTATTACTAACCTTGAAGACGCTGTTCTTTCATTATAAATTTACCTTTTTGTCACAATGTTAAATGTACATTTTAATGAGACAAGATTTTTATGAATTTGCTGCTAGATGGCTTTAGTAAATCCTTTTTCGCACAACTATCATAGCACTGGCTGAAGACTTTCGCTCCTTTTTCATGAATGATTTTGTGTGATGGTATAATTAAATAGTTGTGTTCTTTGCAATTCTTTTATTCTTGATTTAAAAAAAAAGCTGAAAATTGTTGTTAGGACAGCAATTGACAAAATAGAAGCTGCACGTTCAAAAGCGGTACGTGAACGTGCATGGAGACATATCGACATGATCAGTTCCAGTGCCGACAATGCAGCCATTAAATCACAAGTGTAGGTCTTCCTAATAATTTTTTTTTCACATTCTTGCTAAATTAATTAATAAAAACGAGACCAGTAAGTTGGTAATTGTTTCTTAAAATTTAACAGCGTTCATTTGAGTCACAGAGAGCAATATGCATTATTTTTCAGTAAAACGATGGATTACGACGTTATGGGTGCAGAACATTTCTTGACTAATTGGTTGAAAGATAAAACGGATGCACTTACGGCTTTGGATATGGAATCGCAGTATGCGGAACTTGCTCGAAATTTAAAACAGCGCGAGGATACGCTTTATATTGTTGCAATGAAGGTTACTACTTTTTTTTATTTCGTTGCATTGACACATGCCTCTCTTCTCATCTCCATTAATGAAAGATTAATCTTTCATTAATACGTTGCAATTTTATTTTTATAGTAAACAATCCTGATGCTTACTACAGGTTTCTCAAAAAATTTTTTTGAAAGTTTTTTAGAATTATTATTTGCTGCCGGCAACCGTTCGAAATGGTACTGTGCAACCGCGTATGGCCCTCATCTTGCCTGCTCTGTCATTCAATGGTACATTGCCGAATCAGGTTTGTTTTCAATTAGAAATACATTGATTACTTTAATTAGTAACTTTTTTCATTTCCTATGCATAGAGTTCATTAAACTTTTATTCCTTCATTTCATTGGTAGATTCTTTCCAAAAAAAGCGTAAGAAAGCTTATTTCCCTAACTCTCTTTTGAAATTATAGTGAATTATGTCACCGCTTATTTGAATATTTATGCCTGATGAGTTGATCTAATTTTAAATCCAGTAAAATCTTATTGGACGACAAAATACTTTATCCGGATATTTCCGGGTTTCAATATAATTTTTAGAATTGAAGCTCTTTTGATTAAGTGTTAGTTACAAGATCTGTTTTACTTTGGTTCTTGATAAGGCTACTAATAAACCCTTATAACAGACTAAAAATGATTAACAATGAATGATTTGCCTTTGCAGGTGGCAATGATGCGCCTGGAATGTGATATTACGGGAACGGGATTGTTTCATCTTCCAAGCTCACTTTTGCCGTTATTTTATGACCACTCAGGTCGTCAGTAGGTTTATTTTTTCAAATATCTCATGTAACAATGTTTTTTTCTAGGCAAGTGATACTCTTTTGTAAACTTCTCTGTATCTAACTGGTTGTGAATTTTCTCTGTTATCGATCACTCGATCGTCATATTTCGTCAGGTAAAGCATAAGATCAAAAATGCGAGATTTAAGTGAAGGGATTCTCGTGAATAATGAACTATTCGGGAAATGTTTTTAATTTTGAAATTGTTTATTTTTTACAAATTTTCACCTTGTGTTAATTATACATATTGCTTCCCCGTCCTATTTTTATTTGTGATTTTCACATATTTGAATTTTTTCTTGCTTTATCATATATGGTATTGTCTACAAAATGAAGTTTTATAACTTATGTTTTTTAAGACTTGAAAAATTAATTTGACAGGAATTTATCAATTGTTTATCATAAAAGAAAAAAATTTCCAAAATGTTCTGTATTTGAAATTTTTGAAAAAAATCTGAACTTCTAGGTCTCAGTAGACAAATATCCGACCAAACCAAGTCATCCAGTACTTTCTTTTCTGGTTGTTTTTTGCCGTTTAATAAGCACACTTTGATGCTTTATTTTATTTTTATACATATATAAGTGGCTGAAAATATGATTATGCAACCACTCAAAGATGTTTTAATCGGTGAATTTTTAGTTTGTTTATTACTTTTTGATTGGTATGAATAACGTGTTCACCCTCCTAGCTGTTTCAAACTTCGAGAATATGCATTTAATTGTACCATTAAAAATGGATATTAATTTCGTGAAGGTTTGCAAAAATATAATTGTTTTATTATATCGTCAGAAATGGGATGCTTTTGTGAACATGAAGATAAATAAGATGTGATGAATACAAAAGTCGCTTCATGCAATCAATAGATAACGTCTCGTTAAGATTGTTCATCTACTTGGAAATTGCTTTATTGTTCCGAAACTATGTGTCGGAAAACCCAGGCGAGTTCAATATCTTCGAAACTACTTCCACTTACCTAATCCTACCTAAGCGCGCATTAATGTCCGTAAGTTTATTGAAACATCGAAGTTTCGTGAGCATCAAGTTGTTTCACTTACCTAAGCTAACGAATCAGATTCAATGATAAATGCATTTCAAACGATATTACTTACAGCAATATGACAATAAATTTCGGATTAAGAAGTGGTCAAATTGCTTTTGCTGTAACATAAAATATAAAATATCAAATCATTTATCATTAATTTTGAAAATTCTAACAAAAAAAACTTTATTGGATGCAAACATTTCACAACATTCAAATTCCTCTTAAATTTACAAACAAACAAAGAAAAGGAAAAAATGGAATGCAAGCATGATAACATGGACGCTCCCATCGTTTCTTGCAGCAAAAATTGCAAGTTAAAAATTTTTGTAATACCTTGTAATGTGTTCGGTATTAAGGACATCACTACTCAATTCAACAATTATATTAAATTTATCCCACAACCCGATAAAAACCTTAAGTACCATTGGTTGTCTATGATTGAATAAAACCCAAAGTGGAGACTGCTTTATTAGAAATTGAAGACTAATCAGGTCGATTCTCGTCATCCGGTACCAAAAGTGGTTAGATGAATTGTATCATTAGAAACGGAATAATAGAACTGTTTTTTCGTTCATTGAGAAGTATATTAAGATGCGTGTGAGGTTGCAACTGTAAAATCTTCCCTTCGACTACTTCACTTTAGTCGATCCTGATGTCTCATAAATTGAAAAACTTAATCGAGAAAAACCCACAGAATTAAAAATCAGTAAATAAATGATAATTGTCACAAAGTCACAAATGCCAGTCACAAATTATCGCACCAATTCAGCAAAGAAAGCGTCAAGAGAAGTGAAAGAGAAAAACAAGGATCATATCAAGATATTCAACGATTGATGAACTAAAGAATTAATAGGAAACAGTAAAAAGTAGCACGATAAAGTGAACAAACTATCAAATTCTCGAAAAAACAAAGATGAATACTATATTTTAATAACAATATGTATTAATGAAGAATAATCTTCACGTGACTATAAACAATATAATTTCAGTGATCGCAGCTTTTTTATGATAAAATATGGACATATTTTATCTAGTGACATAAGAACCATTCACAACCACTTGTGGAAAGCTTGACTTCGGCAAATACAACTAGTGCTATATATGGAAATTAGAGAATTGAAATTATTACAACTTACGCCCCGAAAGCAAATATAAGTGAAAAGTGTAGCACTAAGAAATGATTTTAAATACGATCAAAAAGTTTTTTGGAGTTTCTTGAAATTTAGAAATCATACAAATAAAATATCTCACTTAAAAATTAAAACAAAAAAAAACTAATACTTCTCCATGGAAAGGGTACTGTTACTACGCTCATGGGTAGGTTGTTTCAGTGATGTGCCAACGTCTCGGATCGATGATATTGTTTTTTTCAACCACGCTGCGTGCTTACTGTCGTTATCACCACTAATGGACGCATTCATCTGAAAAAAGATTATCTTCGAAAAAATTCAAAATCTAAAATCAACTTGTAAGAACATAAATTATAGTAATTTTCGCTTTTCTCTGTTTCAACTTTCCTACTTCTACCAACTTTTCTACTTCTATAATGAATCTTTATAGCAATAACACATTATGAACCAAATGCTCATTAGTATTAACGCACAAATTTCGAAAGTAAAAAAAATTGAAATAAATGAACTAATTGCTGTATATAGTCATAACTTAACTCGGAAAGTAAACATTTGTAGCAAGTAAAATAAGGAACAACGCCATTTTAACAAGCGCTGCACACGCATCTCGCGCAACTCTTTAGCGAAAGATATGGAAACGTAAAGTTCAGAGGCTTCAGACTTTACGCTTTCCAAATTCGCATCTTTGCTTCCAATCAATTATAAATACAAAATCAAACAAATCTTCGAATAACACTAATGTTGACCGCTATTCTAATAAAACCAACATCATATTCTGTTCCTTATTATCTATTACCTACTTACTGCTGAACTCACTCAATTGCTGATTATGCATTTGGTAAACTAGTATCGAAATGAGATAAGCGACTCGATTTCTATTGGCAGCTACTATTATAGTGTCAAATGATACTGCAACAGCTCCATTCGAAAGAGAAAAGTTGTTGCATACTAATGTACATAAACCAACAACAGTTCACCTGATGACTCAAGTCTTGGTTCCTACACTGTGCCTCAACTAACTCAAGTTTAGTCTGAGCAAGACTGAGTTCCAGTTGGCGAATGCGTTGCTCACTTTCTTCCAATTTATCCATTAATTCAATCACCTTAAAGCCACAACCATCCTCCGTCGGAGATAACTGGAAAATAGACAAGTAATTTCATCGTTATACCAACAACATTTGTCAAAAACTCATTAAATAATCTTTTCAGGTAAATTCAGCAATACAAAAAAAAAACAGCAGACATGTGATGGATATACCTTTTTTGACGGACTCCCATTCATTTGCTCCGTAAATTCAGCAAGTGCAGCTGAACATTGTTCACAGTGAGAAATCACTCCCTGCAAACAAACTCTCCTATGAAAACAATCACCAAAATGTTCTCCAGGAGTAACTTACAGCAATCCGCGTTCTTTGAGTCTTGAAATTATCCTGTTGCTTGTCGAGTCGGTAACTTAAATCGGAACAAATCTCTTTGTAGTTGCTAATAATACCCTGTGATCGTGATCCTTCTGATTCGAGTCGTAGCACTTCTCTCCTGCACATTTCCTTCACCTGCAATTTTAGCAAATAAATGATCACTAAGCATCTTATGACTTCATTCTAATTTGATCTATTTTAATGTAATCATTCTAGACGAAACAATTTCGAAACATCCTTGAGTGGGACAGTTATTTGTGGGGCAGTTTTCTTGAGTGGGACAGGACAGTTTTTTCTCCACCGAGAATAACAGCAAAGCATGTATCATAATTACAATAAATCACTTGCTTAATAAAAAACTTGCATTTTATGATTATAAACCGCTTTCATATAAAAATATAGGACAACCTGATCATATTCAGTTCGCAATCCATTATTTTCATCCTCAAGATCTTTCGCTGTTCGCATGCATCTCTCAAGCTGTCCCTGTAAGCTTTCAACACTGTCTTCTGCCTATAATAAGTTCAATCACGCTGAGGAAATCCGACATCTCTAGACAACCAGAGAAAAAGAATGAAAGATTAAATTATGAGTTAGAAGCCAGCTTTTGTATAGAAATATCTAAATAAATGACAAACAGTGTCCAAATTCTTCCTCAGCTCAATTTTGCTGGTGACGAGTTCGTGTGCCAAATCATCATTTTCTCTTTCCAGTCTCATTACTGTTTCTTTCAGATGAAGATTTTCTCGCTAAAAAAATTAAATTTTGAAATTTGCAATAGATATATACAACAGTAATATTTATTGAATTGACCAAATTAAAAGCTAACCTCCAAACGTTCCAATGGGTCCTGAGATTCTAATTCACGCTCTTTCAATGAATAAAACTCCTTTTCGTACTTTGACAATCGCTTATGACTTATCTGAAAAGTATGGTTTTTGAAAACGTCAAAAAAACAGGATAGTACCTATTTTTCGTTCATTTCAATTATTTCTTTATTAATTCATTTTATTTTTTTGTAATCACGCACAATAAGGAATATTCAAATTCAAGCTAATCACTGACAAAATTTGTTAATAACACTCAAAAAAGTTTTTTGTTAAAGGATGTGTGGACATACAGCACCACAATTACCTATGTAATAAGAAATATTTCAAACAAGATTTCAGGACTGATCTGACAAAACTAACTTTTAACTTCACGGCTTTATGAATTAGCTCCTTAGCATTTGATTCTGTGCGATAAAGTCGTGGCAAAACTACACGAAAATATTTGAGCGCTCCCTCAAAATCCAATTGCAAGAGCTCTTTCTTGGATGCTTTCAACAAAGCTAATGATATGTGGAATATTGTATTCATCCCCTGCAATCATTGAGAGTTGATATCCAGAAAATGATACAATTAACTATATTAATACAAATAGTTTCGATTCAGCGTTACATTCAAATTTACTGAAAATTTGAGACTTAAAAGTTTTTACATAACAAATTTATTCTATTCAACAAACTCAGTCATACCTCACTGAGAAAAAGGTCTACAATAAAATAGACCATTTGCAATGGAAATTTGGCAGTGAATAAAGTAAGGAACCACTGTGAGGCATACATGTGTGTTTCGACACCGAGATTATAGAAATGAGCAAAGAGATCCGGCACGTAATCCTGAAAAATAATCAGTCTACTGAAAAATGAAATGTAAAGGGTCCGAAAATTCAAAAATGTTTCAATTGAAATCAAACATGCCACTTCCTTTTAATTTAGCAAACATTCGCAAGTTTTTATGCCAGAGAGAGCACGGAAAAATCAGCATCAAGGATCGAAAATACATAGATTATGAAGCATTCCGACAAAAGAGTAGAAACAACCAAATACAATCAATTCACATTCATGAATTTTAAAATAAAAGTTGCTGTTCAACCATTCAACAATTCTGCAAAATATAAAATGATCTTTCTTAACTGCAATAAAATACTAGCGATTACCTCAGTTAACCTTTGTAGTTGATAAAATCGTAAGTGTAAAATATCCAATCCAAGTTTGAACAGATCGCGTAAACCATAGTCGAACATTATTTTCACAAGTGTACAAAAAGCTTGCTCTTCAGGCATCTGGAAAATTAAAATTTAAAGGTATAAAAGGAATTTAAAAACTCTGATAAGAAACCAACAAATTATAGAAAACAAAAAGAGATATGCTAAATGAAAAAAAAAGTGAATAATTACATGCAATAGTAATGCAGCAGCTAAGAAGGACAATCCTTGACAGTAACTGACTTCCTCGTCGTATAAAGAATATGCTTTACTGATTCTGTATAATGATTCCTGGCCTTCTCCACCTGCTTCTTTAAAATATTCATGTGCTGGGAATGTACGATGGATATCTCGTAATATTACCTGCTCCGATGGACATTCCTACAACTCAGATTTAAGGAAATAAAAAAAAAGCAGATGTTGCCTGATCAGCAGGATTATCTACACTACCTATGCGTCTTTCGCACATTAAATGCTGCCGAGCTGAAGAAGTTTATACATGTCATTGCGTCCTACGAGAAATATCTCACTGTGAGAAATGCATCAGATTTCTTCGACGCTACCTAATCTCTTATTGCACTAACAAAATGGCACAGTTTTAATGGAATAACAGTTCTGCTCTTTTGTGTAACACTGAGGAAGAGCAAGAATAATAGAGTAAAAAAACTAAAGAATAAATATTATGCAAAAAATTACTTTTCCAAGTAATAAGCGATATGTTTGAGTGAGGTCGGGATCAATTTGGACTTTGGCCAAATACTGCCAAACTTCACCGCGTAAAACATCAGGTACTCCATTACGTATCAGATCAGCTAAACCTTCGGGTATTGTCCTAAGAAAATAGTTCAGATTAAATAAGAGTTCTAAATACGACTTTTGCTAGTCAAAAAAGTTAAGACCGAAAGGCAACACCTTATCCTGAAGGCAGAGAAATGAATAATCTAATTTCGGTTTTCTTATTAACGTTGCAAACGGTTTATCCACTCCATCCTATTCAATAACTGAAAGAGATTCAGATATTGAACCAGACAGAGCATCATTGACGGTAAAAATCCGTAAAATAAATGGAAATCTAACCCTTCGGGATTCGCTTTCCATTCCAGCAGAATTTTGTTCCAGGCACTAAGTACATCTTCAGGACATTCCTGATTAACAATACCCGAACCAGATAATAACGGCTCGTCACTATCTACAAAGCAAATTAATGTTGTTTTGTCAAATAACAAAGACAAACTAAATGCTCTATTCATTTCCACTCATTAAAAAAAATATCTTAATCAAATCATGAACTTCAGATTTTTATAAGAAAATATAGCAAAATTAGGCAAAGACATATGTTTTGACGCACCAGATTCGTCTTCGTCTGCTGGATGTATTAGCTGCGTCGGCATTTTCGTCGGAGATCGACCTAACGAAAGGCGGCTTAATGACCGCTCACGTTCTGTAACTGACTCAAACTTCACCACCTGAAACTAGTTTTGCAACTTTATCGAAGAACTTATTTCCAAGAATAAGTCTAATCACCCAAAGTTCAAACTTTCTCTAACGGAAACTGATATATTATTGCCAAAGCTAATCTTACCTGACCAAAAGCGACATTTCGTTCGCTGGTCATCACAACAATTCATGCTTTTTAGAAGTTAAATTGAAGTAACCAAGCTTTTATGGATCAAAAATGTCCATGATGTAGAAATTGATACATTCAGCACATAATTGCACCAAAAAGGATTAATTTCCCTTGATGATTTTATAACACAAATACAGCAATCTCTATCCAACACTTCCATTTAAAAAAAATTGAGCAAACAAAAACACAATCTGATCAAATAAAATGAAAGAAACTGTAATGTGGTAAAAGTTAGATGAACAAACCTTCAGATTAGCCTCATTCACGGAATCCGTTCCATCTTCTTCCATCTGAAATTAAAATTCAGGTGATATGTAAACTGTTTAGAGCCAATTAGATAACAGAGTAAGAAAAAAAACTGCATTTTCTGTTTTGGCTATGATTATCTCATGAAAATTGCTGCCCACCTAAATGAACTGCTCCCCGCTTTTTTCATCATTCCATTAGTTATTAAAGTGTTTGCTATCTATATCTAGCGCTCGGGACTTAATCAAAACTAGTCTAACAGCTTCTATAGTCAAATAAACCAAATCGGGATTTACTACTATTTAATATAATACTGGCTCTGTCCTATCATTGTTTTTCAAAAATTTAAATAGAATGAGGTTTTTTTAAACTAATTGAAGGAGACCTTTTAATTCTACAAAATTGATTAATTATGTCAATAAATTTTTAATTCGAGAAAACAATCAAAGAAAGAGAAGCTAATGGATGTCTATTTATCACAGGAGATAATCCATTTCCACCCGTGTATTTTTTCAATACCCTGCAATATCCCCCATCTCCCCGCCCGTTCTGAAATGTGAAGGTTGGAAGTTTCATATGGTTATTATATAACTATTCGGAATGTAAACTAAAACATCGCAAAATGTAAAGTAAAGAAATATGCCGATACAATAACACCGGGATGATTCATCAGCGATGTAGTATTACTTTTCAAAGAGAATCTGATGAGTTCGACTATTCCTACATGATGATAAACGGAAGAACATTGTACGCACCGATTTATCTTATGTAATGGGCTTATATCATTACTATCATTACTATATCATTAATATCATTACTATATTATCAACTTATATCAGAAATATGATCAACCTATCTAACAAAGCCCCCCCCCTTTTCTTTCGTACTCTAATAATATTTTCTCATATACCATCTTTCGTCATTTTCTTTCTGAGAGTCAAAGACATGAGTAGAGTGATTTAATTTTCACTTTAAACTGGCCAAAATAATTCGAGATTGTTACCTACACTTCATTAAATTTGAGAATGAGAAAAAAAGTTATAATCAAATAAAAATAAGAACCAGATAAGAAAGATCTGTACGAATTTTGAAATTAAAGACACTTCCGATAAGAGTGGTCAACCTATAAACAAACGATTGAAGAGATGAAAAAAGTACCATATCCGGTAAAAACAGAAGCACACAAATATACACACATACAAATATATATATATATATATATAATATGAAGTTCTAGGCGTTTTTTTTTGCCCGATTTTCATCACACTAAGTTAGCTCGATGGTTGATCTTTCAAACAGACTACATTAAAGAGAGAATAAGAAGAAAGGAAAAGAAACAGTGGACAGAAAGACTGTCTAAGAACAAGACACTGCAGAATGAAACAACTGTTCCAACATATGTTTATATCAAAAACAAAACTTTTCATAGGCTGCTTTGTAAAAATTTAGTTTTCAATTTTTTTTTCTTTACAAGAAAAAAATGGCCTCTACCATTTTATCTAATTTCATTATCATCTTTTATATTAAGAATAAACTAAACATTTTTGCAGCAGTAACCTAATGGATGGCATGGTTCAACCAATCATTTTATGTAATCTTATTACAACATGAAAGCAACGCATTGAATTTATTAACCTATAATCACTCATACATAATTACTTTTTAACATTTTCGAAAAAATTTATGTATCATTCATATTCTTTCTCATAATACAACTTTGTCTCTGTATTCTTCTGGCTACTCCTCAGAATATGAACAAACTTCGATTCTCCATCCTTCTGAATATTCCTGAGGATTGATCAATGCTCGAAATAGATATGTTCGGCCAACTAACACAACGCTTATAAATTTCACTATCAAACAAATACACAGAAGTCTATCGATAATTCCGTGATTTTGAGATTTAGAATTTTCAAAATATTACCTGTATTACAGAAAATCAGTATATTCAAGGAAATAACAGCAAGGATGTTTTACAGCACTAATTAGACGATATAATGAATGAAAGAAGAATTCCCTATATTACCTATTCATGTAGTTTTCACGTAGTCTGGTGGAAACATTCATTCTCTTTGAAAGATTGCTAACGATATAATCTCCAAAAACTAACGGAAATTACTTCACCGATTTATCAACAGCTCGCTGGCTACGTACTTTATCCGTCAAAATACCAGCAAAATTTTTTGGTATTCTCATAAAAATCCATCATTTTACGATAAAAATATTAAATGATACCTATTATTTAAAATAATAGTTAACTAAAGCTAAATATCTCTCATTATAACGAACTGCTGCTCGCAATATCTGAAGTCTAATTAGATTTTCATCAGTAGTCATATGAGAACAAACCCTTGCGGTAAGGAAATACTTCTCCACTACTGGTCGTCTGGATACATACCAAAATCGTTCATGTTCATGAAAAATTCTTGCTTTACATTCCACATTGAAACGCACGGGTTCATCAATACCCGTTAATACTACATCAGCTGCTATTGTCATAAAAACTCTCGTTTCTGAAAAAGATGACAAAAGCTCAAGTTAAACAATTCTGCATATAAACAACAGTTATTATCTTTTAACAAAAGAGCATCTGTTAACAGCACTCAGAAAAATCGTACGGTAGCAAATGCTTTCCTTCATAATTCAAATATCGAGGTATGACACACAAACGACATATTGCACATCGATATTTTACATGAACTTAATAATCGCAAATGTGAAACCTCTTGGAGTTTCCGTATTGAGAACTTCTAAATTTTGTAAGTGTGGATCCCAAATAGCTTCAATAATGTATGTCTTCGCATCATTTCCTCGTCCCATAGATTGCTACAAATTATTTCAAATTGATGTGCAAAAATGAAAAAAATTGCACTGAATGAGTGTTGATTGTTGAAGTGAAATTTAGTCACCATGTCAAGAAGATGCATGTCATTGTGACGCAAGTTTCGGCCAGCACCAAGTAACAGACCAAAACACCTGCAAGGAATATATATACATTTTGATTTTACTTGCTAGTAAATATAAAATATCCGGATAGAAAGGACAATAAGTCATGAAGCAGATACTGAACAATTCGACATGCATACTCCTCTAGCTGATCACATTAACAGTTCTTCATGAAATTCCTTTGAAATTCTTAATTTAGCTTTAAAATTAGATACACAATGGTACCTAATTTTAAAACTAAATTAGGAATTTTAATTATATGAATTAAAGATGATTATTTTTTTAATATAAATTACTGGAAAGATGATTCATTATGTCAACGGAGGTGAATAATGAGTGAATCTCGTTAAGTTTAATTGAGTGTAAGTAGATATAAGTGTTAAAGTAAACTAACTTTCTAACAGTTAAGACCCTTCGTCCGTGAGTTTGTTGCAAAACAACAACCACTCGCTTCTCGCGATCTCTTCTCAGCTTAAAACAATTTTTTTCCTGTGGACATACCGTAAAGCCTTTCTTCGGATCTTCCTCCTGTAATCTCCTAGACAAAATTACAAAAACAGTATCTAACACCTCTAAATATTTGAACAGAATCACAGCATGAAATTCATCCAAATTAGAATAAGAAAGATCTACAACACTAAAATCTTGAAAGTGCAATGTAAGCGGTTAGTAAAATGCCATTAAATGTTTATATCTCACTCTCATTTCAAGAAATGCATCAAACTGGAAATCTTCTTCACCACCAGGATTGAAAGCTCCCTCCAAACTTGATGTCTCTTCATCAGCACTGCTCGGTTGAGATGTGCGACTGAACCTTGGTGAAGGCACTTTCTTTGTTGTGCCGTTATTTCGAAAAGCGTTAGCAAAATTAAGAAGTGCTTTTCCAGCCTAAAATAGCGAACTATTAATCATATTTCTATTGCTAACATCACATCGAGAATGATAACGAAAAACGTGCTAGTCCATGAAAGTCATGTCGACTGGATTTAATACAGTCAAGTTATTATCATAGATTTCACATTATTAATTGAGCGCATACTTTTGCTGTTCTTACCTTTTAAAGTAAACGTAACAATAACAAATTTGAAAATAACTGCTGAGTAAATAGCGTTCCATTAATCTTCGCTTACAGCAAAAACGAGGAAGAGGCAAGAAATACAATCTAAAAATAACTTACTGCTTCAGGAACCTGACAACGGAAAACATGGCATTGATGCAAGGCACCATCGGTAGGTGTCGCATTCTTCTGTGTGAAAGACAGTGCGAAGCATTCACGTTCTGCTGAATCCAACTGACCACGAGCACAAAATTTGATCCGATGAACTGGAAAACTGACCATTTCGCATTTGGTTGTACCATCACACATTCTACAAACAAAACTTTTTTGCAGCATGCATGCATATCTGTTAGTGAATGAAGCAGTAAAATTAAAATTTAACACAAGCATAACATGCATTCTCTGAAAAATGCAATACCCATTCTATTCTTGAGAGATCTTTAAATGTAACGGCAAAGCACTTATCTCGACAAATCTTATCATATTTGCCTTATTTAAAAAGAATATAAAGGATGCCACTTCTTAGACTATTCTGTTTTCATGCCTCATTCTCTTATATGTTAAGAATCTAACAAGTTCGACTATCTTATCTAGCCCATTCGGTCATTAAGCAAGAGTGCAAAGCCGTTACTATCATCGCATTGCAATGGTTTGTTCAGATCGAATTTCAGATTATTATTGATCCGCTAATGAAAATTCTAATTAAGAGAACAAAAAACTGTTTACGAAATATGTTCAGTTAATTATCACTTGAGAAATAATAGAAAAAATTACTGGGATCAAAATGCGAAAAAAAGAGAATGAATGAAAAGGAAAAAAGGAATCATCACAAAAGTAAAACTTCTAACAAAAAAACACCATTGTTAATGTCCTCAGTAAGAAGCTTTAATATAAGAAATGGCAGTTCCCACTTCTTGGTCAGAACTAACAAAATTTTTGTGTACTGCAAAGAGAAAACACACACATCGCAGAGAATAAATACAAAGAAAACAAACACAAACCGAACTATGCCAAAAGAAGATTCGGGAATAAATAATATTACATCAATTGGTTTCTCCGAACGTTCCTCATTTAATAGCTGCATTATCTTCAGAATTTCAGCTTCATTGCTTGGATTTTCAATTTTTGCACAACCCAAATATGATATCTGAAATTAGCAAACTTGTGCTAAATTATTTCATGTAAAATCAAAAATAAAACCTAAATATGAATCGAATAAAATTGTACAGAAAATAGGAAAAACAAAATTCGTAAGGAATTTAGAAAAAGTCTGTTTGCCTGATAAACAACTGACAGCGAAAAACATATAACTAGCACAATAAACATATAAACGATATGACGACAGCAACCATTTGCTTATTTTAAATATAATAAAAATGAAAAAAAACCTACCTGTTCCATAGTAGCAGCCGTAATCGGATTAAGCTGACGTGATACCAATAGTTTCACCTTGCTGTTATCAACATCGGCTGCTGTTGTTTGTGCTGATGAAATTGAAGCTGCCAGTTTGTACCGAAAACAAAAAAAAAATCATTTGAAAGTGCAAAATAAGCATACGACACTTACATATGCGAATATCGACATTTTCCTGGTAGGTAAAACAACTAAAATATAGAACAAAAACTGATCACATTTATTCAATATTTTGTCGGAATTATCACATAGGCCCGAATGATGTGCCTTACATTTTATGTTGCATTACATCAATTCTAAATAAATATCAGATAATTTCCGGTGGGTTAAAGTTGCAAATACCATATAATTTTCAACAATTCGTTAAAATGATAGATGAATGACGATGAAAAAACGGCTACTGATAAATGATAACAACAATATAGTGCAGTAAATACAAAAACGGACAGTAAACTGAAATTATCTTCGGTTTTTATTTAAATTAGATACAATAAAAAAGAAAAAAGTGTTAGCATGTCTTAACTATATGAAAATGTAGCAAATGAACTTCTAAGTGTAACAGGAAATGCGCAGGGAAGGATTAATTAGTGATAGCGAGGTGAATGGACAAACTGAGATATGTCAACTCTTCAGGATTCACTTCACTTTCACATGTGTTCCTACAAAGCTATTGTACAAATTCCTTCTATACTTAGTAATTACTATATTGTTAATGAAAAACTGTTACATCTACAAATAGCAACTGATACTAAAACAAAAAGTTATCAACAATAAATCTGCAAAAAATGCTATGTAATTTAATGAGAAAAATGTGTAACATTATTTATTAATTACTGATGTGATGCATTCAGCAGAAAACAAGTTTGTCCACTCTCTTCATTAGACGTACAAATCATTCACGATAGCCGTGCAGTTGAAGAAAGCATATTCACGTGAGCATACACAGATACGCATGAAGATACTGAGTGCATACATGTCTCAGTTCCTCATTCTGATAAATTTATATATTGATATATCGAAACATAATATACATAAACAATATAAGTAATACGTCCACTGACATACATAAACATATCTATGACGTCGTACACATGATTGCATATCCGTGTGATTGATGGGTTGGCTAGCAAGAGTACGTGTATACTGATACTGATTCACACATAGACAGACGTCAACTGACAAAAGCCAAAAGCGTACAAATATTCATCTATACTTTATACCGTCACACACAATGCACGTGCGTGTGTGTATGCGCATGGCCCTGGGATCGATTCGTTTGCAGCCCTTGTGAGGGGAATGTATGGGTATTTGGATCCCACTCGCTGCATCTTTCCCACACTGCAAACCTCTCTACACTTCACTGGACTGCATCGGCCTACTTTGCATGTTGCTGTACTTCACTGCTGTACATCGCATCTCTCTTTCTCCAATACATTCCATTTTAATTAAATGGATTGATTATACGTGTTCGCGCTGGAGCCACGTTCGTTGTTAACTCTCACATCACATTACTCTTATCATTTTGCGCTTTATAAGTGATGACCTCTCATTATGGACGAAAGGGTCATTTAGCGCATTTCTGTATTCATTTTGTCAAGGAATGCTTGTAAAAAGCGGTGGTCGGATGTTAGGTCGATGGACATTTCTGGATACTTTTCCGGAAGGTGTTGGCTTCCTCTTATGTGAAGCAACATCTCATCTCCATTTCCTTTCTGTTAATACATTCCTGTAGGTATAGACTTAGGTAAACGATCAGCGGAGATTTCCACTGATTATTTCGTTTACTTCGCGTTTACTTAAATCGAATACACAGAGCATTCGAGAACTTGCATTTAACGATTATTCATCGGGAGAGAAAAGTGCTCCATTTCATCATTCATTTTATCAAAGCTGCCAAAACCTGGAACAAAGGTAAGAAATTCCGCAATCTCGGAATTGATATTCACGGGACTGTCTGTCGTAGTGCAAAGATATCAAAATTTGCACATTTAGTATGTTGAAATTACGTATTTCAAGACTGAAAAAAAATCTTTTGCATTTGATAATAGCATATAAAGATACATTCCATATGAAGGAAATGGTACTCGGTCAAACCAGTAAGGATAAAATATCTCAACAACAATCAATTTCATTCATTTCATGAATTGTTTAGCAGATGAAATATTGTGAGATTTCTTACATGATTGGGAAATATGCAAGTTCGACAATGGTTTTAATAAAATGCATATATTTTCAATGAGAAAGATAAAAATGTGGTCGATATGATAAGTTGCAATCAGTAATATTTCAGTTTGTAAGCATATCTATTCATTAAGTTAGCAACAAGGAGCATTTCACAATGCTGACATTGGAAGAAATTGAGACAGAAATCAACTAAAACTTTCTTGGGACACACTAATTCTTTTTTAGTAATTATCACAGCTTTATTAAAGCTTGAAGGTGCAGCAGTAACAAAGCATTTCAGAAGTTAATGAATTGTCTCAGGAGATGCCTTATACATGTTACCTTTTTGTGCAGTACTTTTCATTGTCTAGACTTTTTTTTGCTCGAGTATGACTAGTATATTAATTTTGAATTCCTACTGCAAAAAAGGAAACATGGTTAAACCAGTTTCAATATAAATAGTCTGGATAGTGAAAAGCTACTGCCTTTCATTGTCTGCACTATTTGAAGAAAATAACATTAGCAGTACAAGTCAAGTTAAAGTAAGTTACCAGCAAATTTTGAAATAAAGAAGAAAAAATTAGGACTGCAACAACTGCCGAACATTTACTTCTTCCTCTTTGCTGTCCTCTTTTGCTTCTTATTTTCAGTCAAAACTTCTATTCTCTTTTTCACACTTTCTATGGCATTCTTTGCACCATCGATCGATTTCAGTGTAATTAATGACTTAAAATAGCAACAATAAACACAAATTAGAATCAATCGCTAACTTTTTTTCCAAGCTAATTTCAATCTCTCTGTTATAATTGAACATCATGAGCTCCTAATATAATTCAGCTTTTGCTTTCGAAAAACCTTTGCTTTAGCGAACATAACAGGTAGAAATGGGACAATTTGGCAGTTAGGGCCACAAGAATTTAAGATATTTATTATGACTGTCGCTATTAGAGTAGATCGATTATAATTCATACATCTTTAAAACAAATTTTTGAAGTGAAGTAAGAGAAAAGTACTAAAATTTGTAAAAGAAAAAAAACAAGGCAAACCATCATGGATGCCCTTCGCTGAGCCAGAAGTCGTAAAAAGTCCTCAACTGTCCATTCTTTTTCATCCTTTTGTAAACGAGCAAAGTAGCAAATATCCTTCCGTTTTGCATGCTCTATTCTGAAATTCTATTTTAAAAGTCTCACTTCATTTTTTGATACCATTCCCTTGTTCTAAATTATTATCTCTCTTTCTATTAAAAAAGATAACAATTGAAAAATATAACACTTAAATTTGTACGAAAATTGAATTGCAAAATAAATCAAAATGCATTTCCGATCCAATCTTATAAACAATTTACGATGCGGCTCAATCAGGAGAAGCATTGCAATCCAGTCTGACAAGCAATTTATGACTCGAATCATTTAAAAGGGGTGCATCTTGTCAAAAAAGAAAAACCGGTTAAATTATTCGATAAACTTCGCTTCAGCATTTATTGCAAAAATAACTTACAAAGGATCGTCACCATCTTCCCACCCGGTCAAGCTTTTAAGGCAAAATGGACAACTGACGCCATCAATATTTTCTTCATCTGGGTCGAAGAAGAAGCCCGCCTGAGCCATCTGAAATTGTGCAACTTACAAATGTGCAACTTGCATTTAATTTCAAAAACAAATTTTATCAATCATAATGATAAAAGTGGTTGATTTAAGGAATCAAAAATGAAGATAGCAACATTCTAAAAGTAAAGCAAATTAATTTATAATATAATTTCAAAAGAGAATTCAACCTTTTCCGCTGATAAATTAGCAGATTGTTGATGAGGCCAGGCACTTTTCGTAAATGATTTCAATCGGTTGTTGCAAAAAATATGCTCGGTATAAGCATCACAGTTTAGCAAATCAACAATGGCTGCCATATTGGGTAATACGATTGATGTCTCTACAATATTATAATCAATACCATTTTCGCTAAAATATTCGCAATGCTCAATTAGCAAAAGACAAAAAATATCAAACATTGTGCCTATTAAATTTATTGCATCTGTCTTTTTCCAACGAAAATTATTCGTTAATTAATACTACTATAACAAAAATTTCCTATTATATTTCTACCTAAATTTTATTATATCAAGAATCATCATATATTACTAAAGAAATCTATACTCTGTCATTTGAATATTTATTTCTTCATTCAATTAAAAGATATGTAGAGGGTTTTGAAATGATTCAAGTCAAAATGCAAAAAAGTTCAGTTGTTCAATAGGGAGAAAATCGAGAATAAAACGTAGTTAACGCATGCACATAACTGATAAGAATAAATTAAAAGGAACGGAAATTTAATATTTGTGAAAATTTATTTAACAGAGCATAATTTGTCGCTTTACGAAAACGACGAATGGTATTGTTAATCGATCTTTCATTACATTAGCAAAAATATGCTAATAATTATAAAAATTTCGAAATTTCTATGAATAAATTATACCACAATAAATTCAAATGTAGTGTTTACGATCTAAAATAATAGCTTTATAAAGCGATCGCTATCAAAATTATTGGGATTAAAAATGGATGAAAGAAAAGAAGCAATTACATATGTAAATATGTAAACAGCTACAAACAATTATGAAAAATATGCAAAATTGTAAAATAATATTTGTGGAAATAACTAATAGTGAGAGTTAAAAAAAATAATTGAGAATAAAGTACGGTGAAAGTATGGAATACTGAGAAATGCAGAAAATGATAAATTCCCTGACACATATTCGAGAGAAATTAAAAATGCCGCAAATGATATGCGACACCTATAATTATTTTCAAATTGAAAGAAAAATCGCTCCGAAAGGTTCGGGTTCACTTCGCCAAGCAAAAATTGTCGGTTTGATTTGGCGGCTTAATTTCAAGTGGGTGAGGAGATGAGGTAGTCCGGTTTGCTAAAGTCGACGTTAAGTTGGGTGAACTTGTGGGTTAGATGAGTAGGCCATGTAGATTAGAGATAAATAAATTGATATTTTTACAACTGAAGTGGCTTACATTTTTACAGTTGTGATTAAAGTAGACAGTAGTATCGTGTGGTACTTCACAGCATGCGAATTCTCGGGTAAGGTTTAAGAGATTTCTGTTTGGTAAATTTCTGTTTGGAAGATATAAAATGAAAGGGAACGAGTGAGAGAGAGAAGGAGACAGATAGAGATTACAGTTGAAAACCAGCTACTGTAAAGTGAAAAATCAAAAGATCAGCTACTGTAAAGTGAGAATGCTTGGATTAATCTTTGAAAATTGAAAGAATTATAAAATTTGTGAAATTCAGAAGAGTAGAGAGAAGGAGAAAGAAAGTAAAAGAGTTGTATCATCTTTGATGAGAAGTTGAAGAATGGTACGGGGTCAATTTAATTAGAATCATTATTATTATGTATCCTAAATGGTCTACATCATATTTTTCGTAAACGATTATTATTTTAGGATGGAAATAATTAGTTGTAATTATTAAAGGACAAATGAGAAGATGGAAAGGGCGAAGTAACATCAAAAAGTTATTTTCAAACGGCAGTCGATGTTTATAATTGTGATTTGATTTCAGCTACACCTTATTCTTTCGCCTCATTAATAAAGTTTTTATACACAAAAAGTAAAATCCACTTGAAATTTTGCATGTAATTCACGCTGAATAATTTAAGCACAAAATTTCGAAAAATTGTTTGTTTATGTTTTTATCATTGCAATATTGTGATGGATTTTTTGTTGAGCATTTTTTTGATTTAGTTCATTTTGGCAATTAACGAAGCAGCTGGCAATTAACGTTTGCGTTTTTTTGCTTAAATTATTCAGCATGGATTACATATAAAATTTCAAGTGGATTTTTTTTTTGCATACAGAAGCTTTATAAAAAATTTCTGGAACTTTCAGCATTTCAACATATTAGCTTTAGTGAGATTGTGGTCGCGAATAAGAATATTATCCATCAAGTTTATAATTCTCGTTATTTTGTGCATTTTGTGAGAATTATGGAAGTATTCATGAATACTCTTTCAGGAACAAAACAACTTACCTCAGCGCTCGATTCAAAATTCAGTAAACAAGAAAACGGCTGCTTCATTGCTTTATCAGTAGTAAGCAATTCGTATATTATCTCATTATATGTATATATATTAAAAAATTCGATTTTTCTTTTAGAACCACAATGTATAAGATTAATGAAAGAAGTCTGTTCAATATTTGAGATGAAATTTTTGATTATTATAAGGAAGATTTATCTGAAGAGATGGATCGTCATGATTTATTGGAACATATCCGACGACAAATTTTAAACGGTAAATGTTTCATGTGGGTTCATGCTTATTATGGCATATAATTCTTAGTTACATTTGAGATATATGCTTAAGGTAAAAATTATGAAAATTTATAAAAATTATGGTATTATGAAAATTCAAGATTTTACATGTAAGTTAAATGTGCCAATATATATATATAAAAATGAGAATAACGAAACTGGGATCTAGGTAAAGGTCTTGCACGTGTTACAAAGTTACTTCAACATTAAAGTGGTAGGTACGTTATTCAGAATTACTTTACGTCCTCTAGCTTGTATAGAATATTATCAAGTAATGCTGTATCATGTACTCTCTTCATACACAGTTATGATTACGAAAATAATCTTCGACAACATTTAGTGGAAAATAAAGCAAATAGTCGAAAGAGCCATGGAGTTGAGAAAGTTGCGAATAAAGCTCGGAAATTTCGGGTAATCTACAAAAAAGTACCGTCTGCGAAGAATACATTTGAAGAGAATGTGTTACGAAAGGCACAAAGTATCCGCACTTCCGTTGCATGTAAGCCGAACTTTCCTTTGTATTTCATTTTATCATTTCAGCATTTTAATTACCGATTTCTCTCTTTTCTCAGTGTAAAATACACTTACTAAAATGCTACAACAGTTTGAAAAATGACAAAACCAAATTCATTATTTTTCCTCTCAGTGAATATCATTGAAAAATTTGATGGCTATGCTATATTGTTAACAATTTGCGTGAAGGAGTTCTAGAACTGTTTAATTACGGAAAAAAAAGATTTGACGATTTTCTTCATGATTTTTTCAAATTTCAGTTAAACAGTGCTGTAGAAGATTGAACAGTTATGAGGATGAAAATGTTGAAGTTATTAGTAAACCTTACAATTCCATGCCATCGTTATATACTTCAAAAAGCGTTTCTCGAGTCGAAAAGGTTAATTTTTGATTAGGCAATATAAATTCTGGTTTATGCTGTTTCAAGACAAATATTTTGCGATCTTAGTATTTACTACGTTAAGCTTTGCTGAAAGCAGTCATCATAGAAAAACTCGTATAAAGTTAATGCTATTTACCTTGGAAAGAACATGTTCTTTTACGCAGCTTATTATGTTAAGATACGATACAGAACGTAAACTAGAAACCATTAAAACATTTTCATTTTTGATCATTTCATATTAGTTATTCTTGATAGATTTGTTGTATTCATGGATTTTTTTAGAACAACTGTAAGAAAAGTATGCAATGTTTTCGCAGTAAACAGTTCCCTGCAGGTACCTGCGGTTCTGGAAGTTGGGCACACAAATCGTTGTTAACATCTGCAGAAGAGTAGTTATTTCCGTATTTTAAATATAATCATTTATAGAGATTCTTTTTAGCGCTGGGAGAGATTTCTATTCATTTTGTGAATGAGGTAAACAAACTTAATTTTCTGTTTCAGCACGTGTCTAATTAGATTTTCATGTTTCGATACGCTATAGTTACATAATCATACATACACAATCGCATTGATGCTTATTTCCACGATCTTTATAAAACTTAGAAACGTTCAGTAAATAACTTAGGTGTTTCGTAGCTCTGTTGCATTTAGTGTTTTTTGCTGGTTTATGTCTTATCTTTCAGACCGCAAATAAAAAAAACTGTGGTTGATGTAGATAGGTTTTTGCGGAATAGTAAAATGGATTCGCATTTACTGCAGTCTACGCGCTCATGCACCAAGAATAAAGTGGAAGGAATTACGAAAGGCAAAATAGTACAGCCTCAAATTGCGGCGGTAAAATGTGAGAATTATCACTGAAATAAAAAAATGAACGTTTGTTGAAAAGTTCGGTTGCAGCAGATTTGCACGGTAAAAGGATAATAAAAGAGAATTTCTCAAGTACAGCTATGATATAAAACATATCTTTCAGCCAGTGATGCCTTCAACTGTTCAACAAAAAACAAGACGGCAAGTTTATTACTTGGCATAATTATGATTAATTTTTTGAATAAGAAGAGGGTATCATCAAATTGAACGATGGGCTTACTTTAAAATGCCAATCTTTATTAATATTTAAGATATCGCAACATATGAATTTGAATATCAGTGGCTGTGAACATAACAGTTCTTGCGATGAAATCAGTGTTAAAATCAAGCAATCGTTTAGCACTTTGAATGACTTGGAAAATGACATCGATAAGTAATTTTTCTTTGCGTTTCCCTTTTTCCCGTGAAATATCATCAGTTTTTTTATTTTTTCTCAATTAGCTAATTGACTAATTTTGATGTATAGATATTAGCTTTACTAATTGTCATTGATGAAAAAAATACATAGTTTGATTTTTAAGATTAACAGTTCATATCGCATTTATTACTTTTACTGTATTAGAAGATTTCTGTGGGAGATGTCTCTTCACCGTTTCTGCAGTAGATGAGTGCTGAGAGTTAAAAATTAATCACGGTATTATTTAAGTCCATCAGTATCTTCTAACTTCTCCCCCGACAATTTGGTTCTAGGGCAGCACGCTTTTTGCAAGCATCATTTTCAAATCGATTGTCAATTTCTTCGTTGTTCGAATGTGGCAAAATGAATGACGAATCTTCGTTCAAACAGTGCATTATGAGAAAGCATCCTTACAACGATCATCACTTTCCTAAGGTTCCTCAAATCGATCTTAATTATAATTATTATAAATCGATCTCATTTTCAATATGTTTTTTTCCAGCTTCCTTTTCAAAACTCACTTGCAGCTCCTAGTATTAGACTTATAGCAGGGTGTCAAAAGTGTAACATTGGGTAAAACATTGGGCTGTCGGCTAAAGGCTCACATTGCTTATGGAAGAAACGTTGCTGAAATGAGCCAGCATCTTCGCGATGTTCGCGATGCATTCAGTAGCCAAACCTTGTTACATAAACATGAAGTCGATGATGTCAGGGTACGTATTACGCCACTCCACATGAACCATATATCCTTCATTTATTTCTTTTGGTTTCGCTTGCGATAAGTTTATGTTTTGCTTTTTTTAGAGCATTTGTCTGCCTTTGTAAGAGAGAAAGAACTATGTCCTTTTTCTTTGTAAAGTGATTAGTTCATGGGCTTCATTTCACCAACTTTATTTGTTGTAATACCAAAATACTGGTATACGGTACTTTGGTGAAATATAATTTAACACAAATATATTTCGTCTTAAAAGGATTCTCATGGAAGCTAAAGCTTTTTTTGCTATTCCTGCGCACTTTTATTAGCACCAAATATTTTATCAGCTGACGTTTCAACGTTAAAGACTGAAAACTGCTAACCGTACTGTTATTGATAAATGTGGGTAATTAAAATTCAAAAGCAACAAAATCATGGGCTGTTGTTATGAATAAAATTTTAGTGTGTAAAGAGATGAGTATAGTGGATACAAGTAAAAGAAAATATGTTTATATAAGGTATTTGTTTGATCTTTCTAACAGTGCATAGTGATGTATTTATTTAATAAGTAATCATAGTGTTTCTTCTAATAATTCATTTTTTGCTTGAAGAGACAATTAATAAATTTTGTGAAAATTTGCAGGCGAAGAAACCTACGGTTCTATCGCATGTTCTTTCCTAATCATAGACTAGAAATGGTTGGGTTAAATTAAGTTTGCATTTTCAGAATTCACTATCAAACAAAATATGTTTTGATGGGCAGAGCAGCTTTTATGCAACCGTACAACAACGCATGAATAAGGCCCTTCAGCATAATTCAGTTTCCAATAATGTATCTTTATTTTTAAATTAGGCGCATATTGCTGTTGTACTGTTTATTTTTTGTTTATGATTTGAGCAATATTTGGAAGTTGGATTGTATAGGTGCACGTGCAACGTAGTTATAGAAATTGTGGCTTAATATGTATGCACTTATCATGAAATATAACATTCTTGAAGAGCTGTTTAAACATGAAGTATTACTGCATTTTGATTTTGAAGGATTAAGAAAAAGCTTCGAATCGTGATCGTTCTGCTCTTAACTTCACTACTTATGCACCACACACCCCCAAGCCAATTATGTTTTTGGATAATGCTGAATTAATAATCCCATATTGGTTCCCAGCTGTGCATGCTTTTATATTGTTTCTAGATTCTAATTTCTGGTTGTGTTAGTCGTGTTCGGAGACTTGCTCTTGTGACGTTCTTGTGTCGTTTTTCATCTTTTTCATTTTGTTAGAGTTTGTGCTAATTTGCAGATGTACCAGTCTTCTCAGTATCCCCTGAAGGAACGGAACTACTGTGATCCAATCGATTTATCCACATCGTCGTTCTCAAAAATAGATTCAATTCAAGATGGTGATAGTGATGATGCAAAAGATGTAGTGCGAAGTACAGAATCTAAAATTACACCACAAACGGTATATTATCCATTTGTTCTTTATAAAATTCTAGAATATTAGTTCGTAGATGTGAACGGTTATTTATTTTAGGTTGTACAGCAAGAAAAGAGCTCTGATATGAAACTGATAAATGAGTCACCATCGACATACTCCACACTGAATGGTATACTTATGTTGTTTTGCTATGTAAGGGAATCTAGCCTGCAGCATACGGTTTATAATAAAAAAATATCGTCGTCTGGCAAAATTAAGGCTTATTTCGAGTTCTTTAGATTTAATTTTTGTTTGACAACAGGATTTAGCTCTTATTTGACTAACAAATTCGTCGATTCCAACTGATACTCTATCAATACAGAAATACATTTTTGTGCAATCGTTTTCTTATTACCCTTACATTCCTATTTTTCTTCTTGTTATCACTCTAATCATTTGGAATATTCCAAAGGGAAATTTTTTGACCTACATCCAGAATCTTTAAAATTCTTATTGATGTAGAACATCTTTTATTTATATAGTTTTATTTAAATATTTTTAGATGTCAATCAGAATGACGTAGTCAGTAGTTCGCCAACATATTTGTCCCAAGAATTGTTGAGACGTGAACATTATGCAAGTAGCACTGTGAGGGCTCTTCGACAATTCTACAGAGATAGTATGCTGTATTTTGTTGTTCTGCGTAAGTAAGTAATTTTTTTTTATTTGATATTGCTGTTTTGTTGTTTATATTTTCATACTTATTTTACCATCATGCTTGGGAATATATACAAAATGAGAATCCATACCGAAAGGCATGCATTAGTGCAATGTAAAGTGTAATTCCTCTTCTTTCTCTTCATCTTCATGGTCTACCTCCATTTTAGGTGGCTTCTTCATTGTTTTCCTGTGTTTTAATTGCTTACCTAAGCTTACCTAAGCTGCAGAAAGAAGTTTTATCATTTTATTGATAATATTTCTATTTCAGTGACCCTTAATCAATTACAGACTGTATCGTCAGCAAAAGATTGAAGGTTTGTGGAAAGTGGAAAATGAAGAAGAAAGAATAAAAGCTGCATGTTTGCTGCTGAAACAAAAATACATTGATTCAGTTCGCAGTGCAATGCCAACGGTAGGAATTAGAATGATATTGAGTTTTTTACTTTCAAAACCGCTTGTTTTCTGATCTGTATTTTGCAGAAGAATTTGGTGGATTATCATTTACATGAGACTGCTCGGATACAACTGCTTAATCTCGATTTACAGAAACGTTTGATACTATTAAGGTAAAACTTTAGATTCGAACTCTATTTATACTATTTTTACCGAACAATGTAATAAAAGTAAATCAGATGTCATCAGAGGCAGAATACAATTTTTTCTTATCCCTGCAGAAGTGATGGTTGGTAGAGGATTAATCATTATAGAACTCTACAAATAAATTAAATTAACTGGAAATAAATGCTTTCTAGAGGTAATAAAAAGAATTCGAGTTTCGAAAAACTCCGCCACGGTTCGGAGAAAGTACTTCTTTTGACGAAGAATTTCGAAAAAAATAATTTAGCGAATGAATTGGAGAAATGGGAACGAAAATTAAAGACACGTTCACGTAATTAATTCTTCTGTTTTGTTTAATATCTTATGAGAAATTCAAATGGTTTATTTGCCAAACAGCTGTTATCACGTGCCAACGAGTGTCGGCGTTCGTGTTGAAATTTAATCAGTTTTAATGACCGAGAATATTATAATTCGGATATTATAATCAATGTTATGTTCCATTGTTTTATGCCATAACGTCTATAGAATTTAGCAAATAAGTTGTAATCGAAAAAGGATCACTATTTCTTTGAATTTTTTTGTCGCCAAAACATACCGATGAGAACATAGATATTACACAGATAAATTGTTAAACCTGTAAAACAATCAAATGACTTAGTCGTTTTACAAGTCTATTTAGGTAGTGCTTCGAATTGAAAGGTAATATTGAAGAGTGATTTGAAATTATTTTCCATATTTCTTTTCTTATTTTTTCTATTTTCTCCTGTTCCCTATTTTTTTACTTTTTATTCTGTGATCAAATCATCTTCTATATTTTTTAAGGCTTTAAAATTGATGGAGGTCTTGTTGCGGACATTGACAATACAGGGTCCTTATTTTCAAATCCTGTTCGAATTGTTCGAAATACCCAAGAAGTGAAAGGTAGGCATGTAATGGTCTTTAATCCTCAAGTGATAATACTATAAATAGTTTCATCCATTTGAAATGTTAATGTTTTAGTCCAAAATCCGAGGAGTTACAACAGGAAGTTGCAACAATTGCGTGAAGAGTTAAAATGGAAGAGAAAAGAAGCGGATTTCCTGAAGCGAACATTCAATCAGAGAATGATGCGCAGTGATCAGAGGTACGTATTTGCATATTTTGAGAAAAAAGATTTTCGCCAATTTCCGAATATATTTTTTTCTCTACTTGTTCCGCAATTTTTTTCTTTCTCTCTTATTGATTTATCAAGATTCACAAGATTAAATAACCTAAGATTTGGTGGCTGTAGTCCTTCATCGCAGAAGGAATTTTCAGTGAGGAGAACTCATTGAGGGCGCAAATCGACGCACATGAATGTTATATTACGGAAACAGAAAAAGACATTGCACAACTGATTAGATTGCAAAATGGGAATGGTAATCAGTTTTTCGTTACCTTTCAGTTTATTTTCTTATTTTTTTTTTTTTGGTATTTTCCATGGCTGTTTAATTCCGTTCATACATCGATTTTTAGATGATGACAATGAAAGATTGACTGTTATCCCAACAGAGAAATGCGAAAGTTACCCAGCATCTCCGAAACTTACTTCGATGGAAATCACTGCAAAAAGAGCGTTTTCTGATGGAAGATTTTCAGAACCCGATAAAAGTAAAACGAGTATTGATGCTGATGCTCATTCCACAAGCAAATCCTGCAGTTTGGAATGGGATCCTGAAAAACGAAGTATAGAAATCACTCAGTATTCGAAGCTTATATTAGAAGAAAAATCTGGAACTGATGGTGTTTCTGAAAAATATAAAATTCCTCACTCATCAGGAAAAACGCGTGGCACTTGTTATTCCGTCGAACTGCCTTCAAGCAGCACCTTAACGCCTTCAAGACTTATTTCTGCAGAACAGCTTACAGATTCTCTTAAACCAAACTATGTAGAAGAAAACTGCAGTGTTTCGGATGAAACGCCATTAGACAATAAGTTATTTTGCTCCCAGGATGTTCCGACATTTCCAAAAGATCCTGCCCATTTAATGATCTATTCACCAGGAAGTAGTCATTCTAGTGAATTATTATACGGCGAAACTGGAAGTTTCAAGCAGGATATTTCAAAAGAGGCACTATTGATGTCCGTTATTTGTCAGTCCGATAGAAGCTATTCCCAAGCGGAAGAAAAAGATAAATCGGCCGTTCAAACAATCGACGGAAGAGAAACTGCTGCGGATCAAAGCAATTTGTCTTCCACTATTGTTGATGAACAGTTTTTTACGCCGTTACCATCAGATATCGAAGACAATGAGAAGAGTGATAATGAAGTAAAAGAGGAGAGAATTGCTTCACGGGGTAGTGTTTTCATTTTGATGTTAGGGTCCTCTGTGTAATTTCTTTACATCATGCATATCGCTTAAATACAATTAATACTCATGTTTGAATTTAAATAGGCTTTTTGCTATTACTAATTCTCTAATCACTGATAGTACTATAAATATGTCTTATGCATATGGGATTATATTTTAAGCTTTTCTATTTATTAGCTGCAACTTTCATCACTGTTGTTCGAAGTTGGATATAATGTGATTATCTCATCTCTAAAAGAATTAGATTAGTTAAATTTCCTTTGGCTCGATATTTATAGGACTTTCACTATTATATTTATTTAATATTTGGAAATTAGGAAACACTTCAAACTTTTTTGTTACTTTGCAAATTGTATATTTGCAGAGTCGTCATCAAGTTTTCACACGACCAATTCATCCCCTGTTCCAGATGAACAAATTAGCAGTAAGACAGCAGTAAGTTCGCTACTGTAGTGTATTTTATCTGTAGTAATGCTAAGCATAAGCAATATGGATATATTATTTATCCTTAGATAAATATTTAATATTTGGAAATTAGGAAACACTTTACTCTATAAACTCTCTATATCTGTAATAATAAATTGAACCATATGTTATTCCAAAGCTGATAATTCAAATAGATTAAGCGGAATAGTTTATGGTAGGGAATGTTCATAATGTGGTGAGCACATGGATTTTTGTTTTTCCTTGGAGTTGATTTTGATGCCGTCTTCTTTATTATTCAAGTTTTACATTCTTTTTTGTTAATATGCTGAATAGTATTATTGATTTTCAGCATAGATCACTGCTTACTCTCTCTCCAAAGTCGAGGAAGTTTAAACTTACAGTCAGTCCACTTTCCTCATCAAAAAGTCTTACATCAAGCAGATATGCGGCATCGATGCCACGTGATGATAGTTCCAGAAGTTCCACAGATAGTCCTCGCACGCGGGTAAGTTTATGCCGCTATGGATTTTTCTTACCAAAGTTTTTTAATGAAATTGGTTTTATGCAAAAATTTAAATTTTTCTTAAACCATCGGGCGAGTGGTAAATATTCGTGGGAAATCAATCAGATTATTGGGAGATTCTTAATTAAAGTGCAATACAAATTATAAAATACTAAGAGCTGTTTTATTCATCTTTTAGTTTTGTCAAGATTGTATTTTTCATTTTAAGAAAACAGAATCGAATCATTGTATATCACCTTTATCTGCTTCTCTGCTCGAATCCTTGTTAGAAGATTCTTTGACGATTATGCTGAGGTTGAACCGCAGTCAAGTTTTGGAGGATGAAACGTTTGTGCTTCATGAAGGACATAAATTAACTGCGAGTTCAGCTACACTACCTGCGGACAGTTCATGGCAAAGTGATCAAAGTTACGATTTAAATAGAATTCCAGTGGTAAGTAATTTTCCTTCTTTTTTGAAACTTCTTTCTTTCAGCCTTAATTGCAGTTTTTTAAATGTAATAAGACAGAGGAACAGAGGAATTCTTAATTTCCCCCAATTATGGTAACATTTATTCGAATCGAAGATCAATTCTTCCTTTTTTCAGTTTATTTCTCCTTTGTTTTCTATTGTAATACTTTCGGTAAAGGAATTATTACTGAAGAACCCTTAGAAGTCAGGTATAGATTTTCAATGATTTGCTTATTCATAAGAGTCCTCAACATATCAACTTGATATACTTTTAGCCCGAAGATCTAATACCTGGCCTTGATTTGAGTGGTATAAATAGCATTGAAGCAGAAACAATTACTGAAAAGAATGATTTTTCTTCGAAGTTGGAGGAAGTCAGTAGTCTGGCAGAAATAAGGAATGATGAGCTGGTCAAATCGCTAGAACCTATGTCATCACAGTTCAGGTATTATATTATTCGCATTTAGGTCTTCCTGATTTACCGGAATATTTAATTTGATTTTCTAAAATATATTAAACTAGATTTTATTATGTGTTTGTTTTATTTCGAAGCTTCTAATTAGGTAATGCTACATTCATTTATTTCAGATATTATTTGAGTGATGAAAAATGGACTGCCGAAGAAATCCACTCAGTTAGTGAGCAGATATGGAATTTGGCTAGCTTAGAACATCCCTTGGAAATACTGGTCAGTAACGATCCAAGTGGAATTGCATCGCAGGAAGTGCAAATGAGGTAACAAATTTTCAGATAATTCCTTCTTCAAATTCATGCAAAGGAGAAAATCTCTCCTTAATTCCACAGGCTGCCAAGTACTGAATGTTAATCCTCCTAACTGAATTTTGCATCTTTGTCCCCTCTTATTTCTTTGAGTTGAATTTTAATTGTTGTTAGGGTCTTGTGATAAATAAGAGCATGATAAAGAATGGAATAAATAAATAATGCAGACAAATGATCGCGGATAGATGCTGTGAAATTGCGAAATGTTGTTTCAAAGATGTTGGCAACCGTCGATATATGGGATTGACAAATATCAATTGTTTCCGTCCTCGAAATCTATTGCATCTAAGAAGCATCCTTCAAAAACAGTTTTCTAAATATTACGAAAGTTAGTCAATTCTTGAAATTGATGATAATTTAACGAGCTTTCTCTCTGAAAAGACAATTTTAAGTGCAGAAGAGGTTCATGAATGTAAGATTGGATCTTGGAAATGGTTGAAATTGTAGGCTTTTTCAGATGGTATTTGTATGATTATTTTCTGAAACATAGTAGTTGATTAGCTAGATTATTACATTGTACAGGCTTTTTTTATTAATTATTCTATTTAGGCAACAAATTGGATAATGAAAAGAAGCGTTGGAAATCGTTATCACGTGACCATAATTCCGATATCGAAAATATCATTCTGGAGGAACTTTATGCGGAACAAGACGGTTGGGAAGATATATTGGAAAATTATGAAAACGAAATCAAAGCTGAGCTAGTTGCTGAATTATGGCATGAGCAGTTGGATGAATCGTTATCGTCTGCCATTAATGTTTGACATTTGTTATTAAAACTTTGCATTTTATATCTCGATTGATTTCTTCTAAAAATTCTTACTGTGATCTTTTGGGTTATTTGGTCTTTGATTATCTGCAGTTCGCTGCATAATTGAATCGATGGAATTGCAGTAATCACAGCAAGATATCCTAAGAATTCAAGGCCATGTAACTCTTAGTCATGGTCGTGCATAAACCTTTTAAAGCTCACGCTATTAATTATCGAGCTTTCCTACTGATTCATCCAATCAAGCTATCGTTGGTTCTTGTTGGCTGGTCGAGTTCAGCGAACACACGGCCACATCACTCACTCTGATTTGTTTTTACTCTCGGGAGTGTATATCACCGTACTTCGATGTCATCAGATTGTTTTATTTTCCCGTCATGAATAAGATACGATTAGTGCGGATAATTTCGAAAGTTATGAAGACAGTGGCACTTTTGGTGACATTTCTAGAACTTTGAAAAAGCTTCGTTGTTTATAACCTTTTTTCGTTCCTCTATTTTTTTTGCTCATGAATTATTATCCGCCTATTACTCATATTACTTTGCTGACTATTATTATCACATTACTATCCCTCATAATTTGTGTTACTGATTTATTGTGATTCATTTCATGTGTTATTATTAAGCTTCATCATTTTATTAGTGCTCTTTCATTCCTTTTACAGAGTGTGACCTAATCACTTAAAAAATTGTATTTGATTACTTTTTTATCTGGACTTGTGCAATAGAAACATTATTCTTGTGTTTGGGAAAAACCTCTAAAGTCGAAATCTTATTTACTGGAATAAACGGTGCTTTTGCCTTTCGTGATTTTTTAGTTAGTCAGCTGTTTTACTTGAAAATGGACATTTATTATTTGGTACGAGGAATGACATGGAATAACTTTTAGAGTTCTTTGCACTCTTAAATCATTTCTAAAATTGAAGAAATTGCCTGTTAGCGCTTTGTAGCAGATAATAGGTAGGTGCGAATTAGTGATGATATGAGCGTTGTGACCTAAGTGAAACATTGTACCGAAACAAAGAGTTCGTGTCTTTAGTACATTTCTAATTCTCTGAAAACGGTGGCATAAAAGATTTATTAGAATTTTAAGGTCCTTGTGAAACCGGCTGAGCGATTGAACTGGATGGAATTACTTTCAATTAAATTTTTTCGAATTCAGATTCCAGATTCTGTTTCAGTGTATCCAATGGCACCATCAGAAAATACAGAAAATGCTGCAAACGATAGCGACAAAAGTCAATGCACAACGTTTGAGGTTAACGGACAGTCATTTGTCATGAAAGATGAACCGAGACGAGAGAGATGTGTTGGACGTTGTGATATGGAATTGGGTGATGTTACTCATCACAATGTTGAGGTAATTATAATGTAAAATATATTTCTAGATTATTCTTAATCCACTGTCGTTATGTAAGTTCATTTCCAACTTGCAGGTTGGATTCTTATGCTTTACAGTTGAAAATGGCGAACTTATTTTTGGAACAAAATTTTATTTATAAAGATTATTTTATCCTTTTAGAGTAGTATGGCTTTACTAGTAGCGCCTTATTTATTGTTCTGAAGCATTGGATGAATTGAAAATACATGCTTGAGGATTTATTGTATATACGTTACATAATTTTAGAATGCGAGGTGCACTAATAAATTTCTAAATTATCAGACTTGATTTCTCATACTTGATCTCAAAGTTTTTCATTGGATAATGATGGGAATATGTGCATAAGTTTTGCAAGTTTTATTTCATATAAAAATTTTTTTTCAGCAATTGAGACGGCTTAATCAAGCGGTTTTCCCGGTAGCATACAATGATAAATTTTATAAGGAAATCGTTACAGCGGGTGAATTAGCGAAATTAGCTTATTTTAATGATATAGTTGTGGGTGGTGTTTGCTGCCGAATTGATACGCAAAATGGCGTCCGTCGGCTGTATATTATGACGCTTGGAACCTTGGCACCTTACAGACGGTAAGCTAATAATGCTAGTAATATATATGGTTATTGTATTGCTATAACCAAAATAGGCTACTGTGAAAAATAATGGATAACCTTTTATGTAATCATTATTTGTTGAATGAATGGATTTTTGAGTAGCCTACATATAATGAATGACCTAGAATGACTATCAAAGAAATTAAATTTGATCGAAATTTCATGATTATAAATCATGTTTTTCTACTGAATGTTTAAACTTATTTATTATATTTCATTAACTTTTGGTAAATTTATACGTGAACATTAAATTTCGATTATTATTATTACTTTATTTTATAGACTTGGGATTGGCACAATGTTATTAGAACATGTTTTCACACTCTGCGACAAAGATCCGACAATTGAGAACATCGATCTTCACGTGCAGGTTCCTCCTGAAAATTAATTTTTATTTTCTCTCAAACATCATTAGAAAGCGTTAGAATTTCTCTAACTTTTATAAAATTGTTTAGCGTAGAAACTATGTAGGAATATCATGCTGACACTATCTGTATTTAAGTACATTGTAATGTTAATGTCACTACACCGGGATGACGAACTGTAGGTTTATGGAACCAGTCATTTTGTCGTGTCTGATTCAGAATTCTTTTTTTTCCGATGCCTTTCTAGAGTTAGAGGAATTTTTTTCTTACCCTTCAACTGAATAAATGAAATTCTAATGAAATTATTCAACTCATGCTTTATTTTTTTTAGATTAATAATGAGTCAGCATTAGATTTCTACAAACGTTTTGGTTTTGAAGTTGTTGGAGTGGCAGAAAAATATTATAAAAGGATTGAGCCAAACAGCGCTTATATTTTGGTGAAAAAAATTGAACGAGAAGTCCGCGAGCATCTTCCATAGATTACCATTTTTCAATGCTGCATTTTACTACGCTTTGCTCCTAATTTGTTAAAGTGGCTAGAAAATAAAAAAAGCCATGGATTTAATGAATTGATTTTTGATGTTTTACCATTCTTTTCTATTGCTTTGCTAGTTAATCTTCAAGTATTTTTTGAAATTAATTAACTGAATAATATTTCAATGAAATCAGAGAAATCAGGAAAATATTTCTGCATTCCCTCTTTACTACTTGCAATACCATATTTATGTCATTCTTTCTCTCTCTTCCTCGGAATTCTTACTTACGTGAGAACGAAATATTCTTTCTTACTTACGTAAGAATGAAAAATTTTTTGGCATTATTTGTATAAGATTTTATTGCTGCGCTAAGTTTATATTCAGATATAAAAATTTGTATCAAACATAAATTCGATGAAATCAGTGTGATAATATTGAGCAAGTTTCGAGATTTCCCGTTAGTATTCGAGAATCAGGAAGGATTTCATCAGTACTTCTGGAATTAATTTGTCATCATATCATTTGAATTGTTATTATTTATGTATACATCATACTTAACATAAACTTTTAATATCTGAACATTTCTTCGTTAGAAACTAGGATGAATAAGGGAATGAAAAAGGGAAGCATAGAAAATTCGAATCGATTTATTTACCTAAAAATAAAATGCTAAAATTCTACTAAGATTCGATTAGTTCCTCAATACTGATGGTTTTTTTATTTAATTATAAGACGTGGATTTTTGGTATTATTATTATAGCAAGGAATATTGACGAAACTTCTTTCACCAAGGTTTAACATAAAGTAGAACCAATGAATTAGACTTTCTCGGCCTGAAGATAACTTAATTTAATTATTAACAACTTAAATCTACAATTTCATTAATTGTGAGTTTGAAATCATTAGTGAGTAGTTTGAAATCATGAATAATATATCAAAAATTATAAAAGGTCGAAAAGAAAATGAGCAATTTTACATATAAACGTTTCGGTTTCATTTCCTCTCCCGTATTTGCGATCAAATTTTCTACTCCAGAAATCGAAACCAAGAAATATTATTCAGAGAGAAGCAAGCAAATAAGTTATCCGATTCCCATTATATAATTATAATGAAAAATGGCAGAATTTACCTGACCTATTTCATATTCAGATGGATAAGAACGATGAGACGAAATTTTCCAATGAGATTTTTCGACAATTTCACTTTTTTCAAAATGTTCTTATCACAGAAGAATAGTTTTTTTTATGAGATAAATTTAACATTTTTTTTCAATATTTTATTCAATTAATTATTTCTTTGTTCAGTTAATTATTTCTTACCTGTTTTGGTATTTCTGTTTAACTTAGATATTTCTTTTTCTTAATTGTTGCCTGCATTTTCATCATCTTCTTATTGTTATTTTATCATTTGGTGTAAGTTGTATGATTAATCTCGTTTTACTTTTCCTCTTTTCTTATTTAAAATAAATACCTGGAAAGTGATGGTAATTTTGAAATTTTTTGGATGAGCAATGTATTCTATTTCATGGAATATGTTAGAAATATGAAATTAGACACGGAAAACATATCATTGTATAGAACTTTCTATTCTTACATTTTAATCTTTTCAAAAATTTCGTCGACTGATACAGGATGACAAAAAAGAAGAAAATGCATTTCAGGAAAACGACGGAATCATTTTAAGAATTCAATTTTTGGAAAGGAAAAAGTTATTTCAAGAATTCATTCCAAAAAAAAAAGCGAAGTGATTCTGATAATCTATTTCTGAAAAAGAAAGAATCATTTTAAGAAACCATTTCAGAAATTTAATTTTAATATTAACCTGTCAATTTAATAATGAATAAATCACCCTGTGTCAGACGTTGATTTTTTAAAAAACTCTTTTTGCGAAATGAAATAAATTTGGTAATATTGGCTAAATGGTCAAGATGGAGTGATTTTACAGCTTCATTTTGTGGACAGAAAAATTTTCATCTGAGGAGGAATAAATGCATCCATAGAAAAGGATGTCATTTGTTTCGAAGGTAACATCAGACTTGTTATGATGAATGTATACATAAAGTGATTGCATAGCATATAAGTGAGATGTCATTTTATAAATCGTGCTAAGTAAAAATAAATTTTATGAGTTTCGAAGTGGAATTAACAGAATGTAACTTAAT